GGAGCTTACTACACATCCTCTAAAGGTCCCTTCTTTATCTCATTCATTTTAAGACTCACTTCTCTCACCACTTTTGGAAATTAGTGAGATCATGTGTTGGTGCTCCTTTGAATCAACTTGTGTAGCCAACTTTCATTTTTAAGAAAAAAGGAATGAAAGTAAATATGTTTTAGTGAATATATATTGTTTTTAAGTTTGCATTTCTATTACAAGATTGTTTTGGACCATTTTAATGGTATAAGTATACGTTTACATAGTTACAGTGATAATTTTTGGTTAGGTAAAATTAAGGGTTCTAGGACTGTGATGTAAATCAGGCATGGACATAAGCGGGTCCTCCTCATATTCCATTGTTCACTTGTGAGTGTGACGGAGTATGCACTGCGTAACAGATCTAACTTTAGGATATTCTGTTGAGACAGAACCAAAGGACCACTTTATAAGGAACCTACATGTCAGTTATTGCTTAAAAACTATATTGAATTTAAACTATCAAGATACAATACTGATGTGTTTGTACGATAAATGCATAGTTGGCTTGAGTCTTAAAATATTTTGCCAACTTCCTTATTTAAGGAAAGTGATAATTTTATATATCTGTTTTAGAGATTTATCTTTACTTTTTGTGAATCTTGAGAAAAGAGGAATTTTTGTTTCTTTCTGCAAGCTGGTGGAAATTTGTCCTTATTGTCCAGGTAACTTTGCTATTTAATACCACATATGCCATAGGGATGCACGTGTTATAAACTGACATGAGCTTAAAAAATAAATTATAATACATTGAAGAATTTGACGTTTTGATATTTTATGACTAAATACGAGAGTGTTAATGCGTATAGAATACTCCAGTAGTGTGGATGAAATGTGGCACTGCTCAGTATCACTTTGTTAAACCTATACATTTTCTGTGGCGTAATCATTCTTCAGAGCAATGGATGGAAGCGTGTTCTCTTTGTTTTTTCCTGAGGTGAAGAAGAGCTGTGTGTTGCATGGATCGATGGTCTATAAGTCACTGTGTTGAATCAAGTCTTTATCTCATAATTATTTCTAAAAGTTATTCTCTCTCCACGTGAGGACAGAATTTAGCATTTATCTCCTCAGTTTAATGAATTAATGTACTTAATATGAATACTTGCTAATAAAATGATTTTTTGATGCCTAATTATAAAATTGGAGTTTGCTCTTAGCTGTTGATGCCACCACCACCACTTTGAACCACTGTTTTCAGTGCTTTATGTACGATCTCTTTAATCCTCTCAGTAACTCCCAAGACGGAGATACCATCATTAGCACCATTTTCCAGATGAAGAAACTGAGGCACAGAGAGGTCTAACACTTTGCGCAAGGTCCTACAGCTAGTTGTGATGAAACCAGGCTTTATGGTTGTATTACTGAACTGGTGTTATAACCAGAATACTGCAGCTGCCTCTCAAGGAAGGTCATTCAACTTATTACAACAAAATTTCCAACAGTTAAACAACTACATTAATAATTAGGATACTCATGCAACAGAACAACAAACATTTTGGGGAAAATGGAATTCCAGTTGTTGAGCCCCCTTCCTGTGACTTCATTCTGTTTCTGTTAAAATAGCATTATGGACCTCTATGCTTTTGTTTTTGGTGCATGGTCGCATATGCATCACATACTGATGAAACATCTCGTGAGCTGAGTTAATAATCCATCTTATTGCTGTTTCACTCGGGGGTGTTGACGGTGCTCTGGACTCCTGGTGTTCTTCATGTCGCATATTTCCATACTGGCTGATGGAGGCTTCATGGCGTGACTGTGAACCTGGAGTCCAAGTTGGTTGTGCTCACTTAGTTTGGAGCACCTTAAAGAGTGCCCTTGTCGTGCCTGTGTTAATAGCTGTGTGAGAGCCAGCCGGCTACCGTGGAGTTGGGATTGGCACTTGCTGTCCATTCACGTCCAGCACCATTTCTTTCCATGAGAAAACGTGGCCTTGTTGGTAGTAGTCCTTGCATTTCCTTTGGACTGTGGCATTTTCTGTCTTGGGTACTTCTGTGTTAATCCTGTGGGTGTTGCCGTTCCTTTTACCTGCAGCCTCTCGACGTCATTCCAGGTCCACTAGTGCTCTCTCCACTGCTGAATCTGTTGGGCAGTCAGGTGAACAAGTGCTAACTGCATGACTTGGCTTCTTCATATGTTCTGGTTTCACACCCATGTTAACGTTTGTTTTCATCTGTGTCGGCTAGCACTTGGCATGTATGCACCTCATATTTTTTTTTCCCCAATGTGCTTTTATTTTTTTAAGTTGTTGAATGTTTATAGTTCTGTTAATCGGCCATAGATGCTTTATAGCCTGTTTGACAACATCATTTCTGCAGTGTTCATATTTATGTTAAAACAAAAAACTGGGAAGCACTTCTTCCCTTTCTGCCACTCCCTCCCCAGGAAGACAACAACCAAAACTAGGTATCACGTAGGGTTCCTGTGCGCAGAGGGGGGAATGCATATCATCTGACAGTCTTTCATCTCCAAAGTCTTCACTCCCAATAAACTGTCGAATATTAATGCTAGTTATTAGTGTTTAGTTCAGATTATTTTGAGGTACTGTTTAGTTACCAGTATTCCAAATTATAGCATGCATTATTTCATATGTATGAAAATAAATGTATTTTTCTAAAAGTTTTATGGACAAATAAGATCAAGATTCAAGTAATTAAGTCAGGCCAAAGTTAGTCTTTGCAACCTGCAGAGGCTAAACCTTCTGTCGCAGTTTCGTTTAACAAAACCTCAAATCCACTGGTTAGCCACAGTGACAAAAAGTAACCATACAATAATGCATCAATTTGCCGGATTTAACTGGCATTTTTATATGTTCACAGTCCCTGCTGACTAGTTTTCTCAATTGAGGAAGGCATAACGTGTGAATCTGCAGTCTGTTGATGGTGACAATTGTTACCAATTCACTGAATCAGTTATTTTCTGTTTTTCTTCTAGATGAAACCAGCTGTATATTTTAACTGTATATGTTCTGATTAAGTACATTCCCCGGAAGATTATGAGTCAGACCGAGGGCACAGTCATATGTGTCCATCTCTGGGAAAATTGAGCTTCATGATTGTGTCAGAACAGTGAGAACATGGAACAGATTTTAGTCTGGCAGAAACAAAAAGTTTATGATTTTGCTTAGATCCAGACAGACATTTCCCCTAAAGATTTAAAATTCAAATTGCCTATGATATTTATCAAATGATCTACAGTCACTGTGTATGGCAAAGCTGTATGCATCTGGGAAGCACAGATTAATTGCATTGTTTTTGTAGTTTTAATTTTTGTGTTCGAAAAATCAGTATTATCCTTGGAGCAAGAATTGCTGGCATGAGATCTTTTTTTTAATTTTTTAATTTTTTTAGGTTCCATTTTATTTAAGTTTATGCTGGGTAATTTTTAAATGGCTTATAACTGAATTACTTTCATTCTGTTACTCATAAATCTTCTACTATCTACCCTTTTTTAATGGAAAAAAAGATGAACAAAGATATATAAAACAAGTACATAGTAAGTCTCACTTGTTTCATATTTCAACTGATAAATATATATAGATGTAATTATTTTTGTGGTCTTTTTTAATTTATATGGCACATTAAATTACCTTTTAAACATAATGGCTAAAATGACATCTGGAATGATCAGCAAATGCATTAAAAAAGGGGATAGTATAACATACAATTTTTGTTTCTTTATAAAAATTCATGATTGTATAATTCTTGACTAGCAGTGTTTAAATTTTTCTCCCTTTCTATGGTGGTGGAAGGTGTAATGTTTTGAAATTGACATTTTAAAAAAGCCAAATGATACTTCACTTTAAAAAGTTCACAAGTTTTGTAGGTGATGTCTTGTTATAGATCCAAAATTTTAAATACATCATATTATAAGAGAGAGCAATTCATATAAAATAGATGTTAGTTTCCCTTTTATTCTAAATGCTTCTGGAATATGGCTAATACAGAGATTTCCCTTGTCCAAACAACGTCGTATTTATTAACACAGAGAAAACATTTTTATCTTAACATTTTTCTTCCAAAGGTTCTTATACATTAGAATTTTAAATAAGAAACTTTTTACCAGTAGATAGTATAACATACTTACAAAGTATAACTTACACTGACTTTCTCCTATTATATATAGTTTTAATCTCCAGCACTTCTTAAGGAAGGCTGGTCAGCTGATTTAATGGGACTTTAAAAAGTGAGTCTTCATTTCCATGATCATTAACAAGCTTAAAATAGTTTGAACTGCTAACATTTATTTTAAATTATTTGGATTCTTTTCATTTTGTTTACCTATATAAAGCTATTGTTGAAAAATCCTGTGAGGAACCCAGGTAAAAATTATGCTAACTTTATTTGGATGATTAGTGTTCTGTAGTGAAAGTGCTAGATTTTTATGGTGATTCTTAAAGAATTTTAATAAGCTGATTTAAAAATAATCTGTGGTGACATAAGCATCATGATGAACAAGTATCTAAAACTAATTGAGCTTAATAACAATTAAACATTAGTGACACTAGTGAACATTTGCTCAGAGATCAATTCAATACATTTTTTTCAAATTTTGACTTCTTATTACACGTTACATTAGAACTCATTTATCAAACCGTGAAGCTTTCTAATCAGTTTGACCAAACGCCAGAGCTACCTGCCTCTAGAAGGAAAGCTAACTAGATTAAAAGACTCGACTCATAGCCCAGTTCTCTTCTATAGTAAATTCTCCCTCTCTCACATCTCAAAACTTTTTCAATAATAAAATGTCATGTTCAAACAATTTCAATTGACAGAATGCTTTGTGACCAGATAACATTAAATGTGAACAACTTAACCTCTACCACTGGTAAACAAGTCAAGTGTAGTGAAAATTGACTAGAGATTTCTCAGTGCCTCTGTCTACTTGGTGGGAAGAGGCAGGAGCCCTTGCAAAGAACTGAGAAAATTTGAATTAAAGTGACATATCTTTTGCTTTTGTTTTTTAAATAGACCGGTTTGGGCTTGGCCAGCCAGGAAGAATACCTGGTTCCGTGAATGCCATGCGAGTTTTGAGCACAAGTACAGATCTCGAAGCTGCTGTTGCTGATGCTTTGGTAAGAGGCACAGTATGTACACAGTCTCTCTGAATTCATCATCTGCATTGTTCTCTGTCTCAACAGGATATTGCCCCCAAATCAGGTTACTGAATCACCTTTGACACTCTTTAAAATTGTATAAATTTACATTATTACCGTTTTTTTCTTAAACTTTTACCTCCGCACACACAAGTGAAAATTGGCTTTATAGAAGACATTAGCATCAAGGATTTTTTATCTGTGCTCCAAAGTATCAAGGAGGTTTTGATGACATTGGGCTTTTCAGATGTCATTGGGCTTCTTTTTTTTTTTCTTTGTCACCATGGTTTTTTCCAGCATTTCCTTTTTTCCACTCTCGCTTCTCTTGCTTTACAGACTTTGATGGCATATTATTATAATAGTAGGTAATAGAGTTTGAGGTTTGAAAGTCTTGCATTTATTCCATTACTTGACTTGGGGGTCCATATGATTTTATGTGGTTTTTTTTTTTTTTAGAAAATGGTTTCTTAAGTAATTTAAGAAAACTTTCTGAATTTTAAGGTTAAATCTTTGAGGATTTGAAGCACTGGTGAAGTGTGTTTTTGCATCATTATAATGCAGTATCTAAAAAACACAGAATACTCACAACTCCTTTAATTTGTGGTGATAGCAAAAGTTGCGTGGTAGAATTGGCTTGTGGTCAAATTGCTTTTTAAAGATGCATTTCAGCTCAGTAGTAGCATAGTCTCTTGCATATTCCAGTTTATGTGCTCAGCACTTGAAATAAATATTCTTTAGAATTGTCTGGTCCCTGGCCTTGCTGCTGCTATTTTAAGATTTATTCTCTTATAAGGGGAAAAGTATGTAATATGCTGCTTCAGACCCTGAAGTTTTTATTTTTAATCCAGCCATATTTCATCTGATCCACATTGTATAGTCTCTGACTACCATGATTCCAGCTTTCATTCCTTCTTTTCTCCCCATTTATTCTTGCTCAGTCAGATTACTTTGACAAGTGTCTCTGAGCAAGCAGTTTGCTGCTCTCATAATGCTTTCCCTGTGGGTAGACTGCCTGGCCAGCTCTATTCCTCTGCCTTATGTGTATAAGGACTTTTTTCTGACAGGTGCCAGAGGTAGAATAATCACTCTAACCTTGGCTTTAATGTAAGAGTCAAGAGCTGGAACAGATTTCTGTGACACTATTTCTTCTTGAAGTTGTAGCATTTAGAATCTATTTCTTATTTATTCAGAGACCCTAGGAAGGGGAGGTCACAAAGGATGGGAAATGATAGATATGAATCCCTTAGTTAAATGGGACTTCCAGTTAGGGCAGGGATTTCTTAGTTCTTTAAAGACCTGTGCGAAGGACTGTGTGCAAAGTTCTAAGAGGCAGAATAGGACTTGAGAGTTTGAGCTTTGGCTTAACTTGACTTGAGCTTTTCTGTGAGCTCAAGCTCCCATTGCATTCATGCCACACTTGTTACTTTTTGTCCAAACTATGTGGTCTCTGCTAGGGACCTGCTTCAGAAGAGAAAATACAGGAATGGCACAGAATCCTTGCCTCACCAAATAGACACCCCAGGGGCAGAGAGAATGTCTCAGAGGAGTAGATAGTGGAATTAACAGTGACCTTAGAGATGTGCCTCACTGGTGCAGGAAGAGTTTTAGCAAAGAATTACAGCAAGTACCACAGGTCTTATGAGAGGTCTAGGAGGGTTAGGAAATGGCATTTTGAAAGCATTCTTTATTATTATTCGCTTGATATAAAACGCTTGCTAACCTGTATTTTTGGTTTGCTGAGATATGTTTTGCTGTACACTTTTGTTGCAAGAACAGTCCCCACATATGCTTCTGACATAATTCTCTATGCTTTTTCCCCATCCTTCAATATTTTCCTGCCTACAGCTGTTAGGAGACTCCAGGAGCAAGGTACCAGTGCCTTAACTTTTGTTTTACAACTTTATTTCTTCTGTTGCAAGTATATTTCTTTTAGTAGCTAGTGAAAGCAAAAATGTAGTATAGTATAGAAATTCTGGTCTGAATTATAGTTTTGTTGAATCGTAACAATGATTCAGCATCATTGTTGCCTTTGTTAGCAGTGAAGTCAGTCAGTCACCTTTCACATACATCTGTTGTAGTATTTATTTTGAATGTCAAGCTCTGTTCCTTCTTCTAGTAGTGTTTCATTTTATTAACTCAATTTGGACCTATTCTTATGTCATCATGATTTCATGAATGGATTTATCAAGATTTTTCTTATTTTAGAAATCTGGTTTATATATAAATAGATCATGTGTTATAAGTATTAGTAAATTATATGATGATTGTATAATTTATCATCCAAACAAAGTGCTTTTGAGAGTGAAAGAAGATGCTATTCACAATTACATTGCAACAATAGGCATAGGCAGAACCAGTCCTGAGCAAGTTGGGACTAATAATAATAAGCCATGTTATTAGAGAATTGCATTTGTATGGTTTGAACCAATAACTATTTGTTTTTCTTTTAGAAAAATTATATTTTATAAATTTTATCAATTTTGTATAGCTGTTGCTATATCATTTATGAGTTTAACTAACAGTTTTGTACTCAGGTTAAGAGAAATGAAATGAAGTGAATAGTATAGTCTACTTTAAAAGAAGCCTATTTGTGTTTCAAAACTTTAAGTAAGTCTTTAATAAAAGTGGCTCAGATATTTTAAGAATTTTTTGACATAAGATACTTCTGCCACTGACATTTCAAATTCAGACTTTCTTAGGGAAACATGAATATTCAAACAAATTTCCCATATACCATGCCCAAGGTATATTGCTTTTGACTGGGGAGGGGCTGGTGGGTGCACATATTTACAGTGTGTCACCTGAGCTGGATTATTGAACATACAATTTCATTTCATTCTCATAGCAAGCCGGCGTGATAGGTATAATTATTACTGTCTGGAACATGGGGAAACTGAAGCAGAAAGCTTAGGAGGCTTTCTGAAGTCACACAGCCAGTCAGCAGTGACACCAGGATTGCAACCCATGTGTCTTCCTGAGAAGTCCACACATTCTACTAGAGGCCGTGCTCTTTCCGTCTGTTACAGAATGCTATGCTTATTACTTACTTTACCTACTGGAAGACTTCTTTTCTCTTTTCATTTCCCTAATCTATAAGCACAGGAAAAGAGTGTGTGTATGTGTGTGTATGTGTCTTTTTACAGTTAACTCTTTGTTGTTGATTTTGTTTGGTATGACTCATGGTCATTTCACCTTTCCATTTTTCCCTCGATCACCCCCATCCCTTGTTGGATCTGTTAGAAGAAGCCTGTGAGGAGGAGATATGAGCCGTATGGGATGTATTCTGACGATGATGCCAACAGTGATGCCTCGAGTGTTTGCTCTGAGCGCTCATATGGCTCCAGGAATGGGGGCATTCCCCATTATCTGCGGCAGACCGAGGATGTAGCAGAAGTTCTCAACCACTGTGCTAGTTCAAACTGGTCAGAAAGGAAAGAAGGGCTTCTGGGCCTGCAGAACTTACTGAAGAGCCAAAGAACACTGAGGTGAGGACAAGAACAAATATGTAGCTAAGTTGGAGTCCCATATTATACTCATCAGGAGCTTTAAAGGGATTCCCTGTCATTTGTGGAGTCCTTATTACAAAGTTCTAGTTGCAGGCATAGGCACTAAAGGTACTAAGATGACTAAGACGTGGTCCTTGCCATTCAGAGGCTTTGAAATACCTGGCAAAAATTCTGTAATTTATTGGATTTATAAAGCATTTGGTTCCCTTATGTGTTACATTTGTCCGGTAGATGTTGTTTGAGAAATCCTGGTACAGTTTGCAATTCAGGTAGAAAATAAAACAGTTCTGCAGGTTAGTATGATTCATTACACTTCGGGGTCCTGGAGAAGATGGTATGAGTCTGACGTCTAAAAAAGTTTTTTATAAATGTGCCAGGTAAAGAGAGAATAAAATGGAGCACTCCAAAATTATAACAGCATTATCTCTAGAATTGGCTATTTTTGCTTTTTTCTTTATGTTTCTGTTTCCTAAATTTTCTGAAATGAACATATATTATTACATATATCAAAAAAGGATGTGTATACCATATCTCATTAAATCCAAGGTACCATTGACCACCATTATTTTATATCCCTCTAATAATAAATGCTGTTTATTAACCGTGAAATACTAGCATACCATTGATTATAAGATGAATCTCAATTACAGAGATGCTAAAACGTGAAAAAAGAAATGGGAATGGGAAATGAGGAATGTGCAACTTAGAATCATAAATACAGTTACATCTTTTGGATCACCTTTTTAAGCTAAGCTGTGAAACTGGAGAGGTATATGGCCGTAGATAGATGTCCCTCTGGGTTCTGTGAAGCCGAGTGAGCACTAGCTGATGAGCCACTGGGCTCCAGGTGCATTCTTCAGTCAGTCGGACTCCACCCTCCTGTCTTCCTGCCTGCCCACACTATCCCGTCTGTTCATGAAGATGATGTGAGAGGTTTTGTCACGTGCCTCCTGAAATAAAGGCATCCTGTGATACTCCACTGATGTGTCAAAAACAAAATGGGGATGACTTGTGATTATTCTTCAAGAATCTGTTTAATCCTGGTGGTCCCACTTTCTGGATTCTTCATGTTCACAAGTACCCATTGAATAATCTCTAGAAATCTGTCCATCAGTATTGGTCCAGTTTGTATTGTAAACAGTATCAAGGGGTCATTGAACGAACTTTCTCATTTGCATAAGAAGGGATTACTCAGACTTGATTTGGGGAAGAGAAGACCCTTTTTTCAAGGCTTGAAGTAAAAATGGGACTTGATAGTAGTCAAGGATCAGAAAAGGCAAGGGGCAGCCAGGCATGGTGGCTCGTGCCTGTAGTCCCAACTACTTGGGCTAAGGTAGAGGATCGCTTGAGCCCAGGAGTTCGAGGCCGTAGTGAGCTATGACTGTGCCACTGCACTCCAGCCTGGGCAACAGAGCCAGACCCTGTCTCTTAAAAAGGCAAAGGGCACCAATGTGAAATGGGTGTTTGCTTTGTCCCAGGCACAGTAGTAGGTACGAAGTGTTATCTTTTCTAATCCTCTCAGCAGCCACGGGACGTAGCACTTATCCTATATGACCAATAAAGAAATGGAAGCCTAAAGATATCGTGGTACTTTGTTTGCAGGAGAATTGAGATTAAAATCCAGGTCTATCTGACACATGCTTTTTTTAGTTTGTCCCATTGCTTTTCAGCTGTGGCTGGTGGATAACAGACCTGGGATAAAACGAAGGGGTTTTGCTTCATGGGTTGGTCGCTTCCAGATGTGTGAGCTTGGGTAAATCACTCTGAGTCTCAGTTTCCCCATCTTAAAATGAGAGCAAACACATGTTTTAATGTTCCTGTTTAATTTAATCATGAATTAAATAAGAATGCATTTGTGAAGAAACTTTGCTGTGTAGATACAAATTATGTAAAGCCATGTAGTTGACAGAAACAAAAGGATTTTTCAGAGCAAAGCCTTAACTAATTGCAGCGTTCACTTATTAAATTTTAAGTTCATTGATTTCCATTTTATTTCCTCTAGTCGAGTAGAATTGAAAAGATTGTGTGAGATCTTCACCCGGATGTTTGCTGACCCACACAGCAAGGTAAGTCTGGGAATCAAGCCTTACTTATCCCAGCTGCATGTCTGCGTGAGCTGTGTATCATATACTACCCAAGAATGGGAGAGAATTCCCTGTAATGCAGTTTTGACCTTACACATTTAACACCAATATCAGCGATGGTGTATGTTACATCTTTTAAAAGTGGGATTCTTGGAAAATTTAATGTGCATAAAACTTGAAGCTAAAGAAGTGTGCTTCATGTAAGAGTTATCATGGAGAAAATCAGATGTAGTCTTTCATTCAGCACGTATTTTTGCATGCCTCCTGTTAGCCAAGCAGTGGGCTAGGTGCTAGAATGTAAGATTGTATTATAGTGCACTGTTTTTAGTTACAGTAGTGAAGAAAATAAGTATAAAATTAATTTGTATTCTATGTAGAATATGCTTTCCTAGGATAAGATAGAAAAATAGAAGTATTTATTTTCTGGATTTATTGAAAAACTAGATTAAGTTATTTCTCAAAATAAAATTTTGCTGCTCCTAAAAACTTGCCGGGTAGTGGTCACTTAGTTGGTGCCCACACCTCCTCAGGGCCAAAGGGAACGCTGACCTGCGGACTGCCTTTTTGACAAGAGAGTCCCAGCTCAGAGGGAAACACCCATGAGTGTGGGACAAGGCCCTTTCTAGGGATGGTGCTGAGAGAGCGACTCTTTACAAAAGTTTACTTGGACTCTAGATTTTAAATAAATACCATTGTTTGGAGGAAGCCTTTAGAGGCTGTTCAGTGCTTTTGGAGAAAGAAAACAAAAGAATGAAGATAAAGAGAAGTTTACAAGATAGAAAAAGAACAGAGAGACTAAGTGTAAATTGATAGCACTTTAAATCAGCAGAAGCAAATCTTAAATGCTGACATGCAGGATTAACTATATTATACTACAGTGTTCCTAGTAAAGATGGTCTCTTCTAAGTCTTGCTGGGAAAAAGAAACCTCCAATGGCCAGGGAGTCCAGCCAGTTATCGTCCTCTTCCTCCTTTTCCTATCCTTGCTTCCTCATAGGAATTGTATTTGAAATAGCAAACAGCAACCTATCTACCGACCCACCCACCCATTCAACATTTATTAAATACCTGCTCTGAGCTAGGGATATAGAAAACAAGACATGGCTCCTTCCTTTGGAGATGCTCATGAGAGTGTAGGGGATAAATGCAGGGATTCTCTTCCTCACGCCTCCCACAGCACTTCTCCTTACTCAGTATCAGTCTAAAAGCGTGTCTTAAAATTCCTGATATGGGCTGGGTGCATTGGCTCACGCCTGTAATCTCAGCACTTTGAGAGGCTGGGCCCAGGAGTTTGAGGCTGCAGTGAGCTATGATTGGGCCACTGCACTCTAGCCTGGGTGATGGAATAAGACCCTGTCTCTAAAAAGAAGAAAAAAATTTCCTGTTATGACCCTCAAAGCCTCACAGCAAAGTTAACGTTAACTATAGTATTAATAATAAAAATCCAAGAAAGATTGAGTTTAAAGGCCACGTAGATATACAAAGATACAGTAATCAAGATTTTTCTCTCAGTGTTAAAAGCAGTAACATTTAAAGCATAAGTACAGTAAGATTCTTAAGATTTATAACATAAGGTATATTAGATGGTTTAGAACATTGATGAAATTTCTGTTACCTGTCACCTCTAGATTGCTGATTCAGAAGCAGAATGTGAGGATAAAGAAGGAAATTTGTTTCCATCAGAAGGCTCTTGTACAGTGAGTTTGGAGGTCTCAGTATAGTCAATATTTGTTAGCTGCCTGTGGACTAAGCCAGGAATCCCACAGCTAGGGCTCTTTGATGATTTTCCTGAGCTACCTCACAGGAGACCCCTGGTGGCGAATAGCTGCTGGCTTACCCCAGTAGACCAACTCTCATTAACAAGGTGTAGGGGGATACAGTGCTACTTATCTTTCTGAAATTGGTTCAGAGATATTCCACTGTGGACTCTGTGTCACCTTAGATAGCAGTATTGATTACATGACAGTATACGCATTATGTAAATATCTTTTATTCTAAGCCATAATCTTTTATTACTTTATAATATCTGAAACTGGCATACGTCAAAATAGTTGACTGACATGGAAAGCAATGGCTAGACAATAGTGAATAGGTATTTTTCCTTATCCTATAATAATATTTGTTGAATGCTAGATAATGAACAAGAATACTATAGAATTAGAACAATTAAGAGGTTTTTTTTCCTTTTTTTAGGAAAAGCCTTCAGGAGTAAACTCAGAAAAGTTAATTTCACTCTGTACTGACTTTTAAAGACTTATATGGAGGGGGAGTAGAGAATATTTTACCAGTTTGTAGCCCTTTCAGGGTTTTTTTTTTGTTTTGTTTTGCTTTTTTTAACGAAACTGCATGAAAATGATATTAATTCACTGTGGACTAACATGGAATTTGTTTTGTTGCATGGCCTGGTTTGCGGTGGAATTCACATCAGAGAGTAAGTTCCAGTCCTTTTCCCTTTATCTGTTTTCTATGATACTTTTGCTTTCTGTAATATGAACAGTGTTAACCTAAGTTATGAGAGTCTGGGCATAGCTAGTATGGGCATTATTAATATTTTGTAGACTTTAGAGGAAATCATGAATTAAATACGTGAAATTTGGTTTTCATTTGTTTCTAGGTTTTCAGTATGTTTTTGGAGACTCTTGTGGATTTTATAATAATTCATAAGGATGACTTGCAAGACTGGCTTTTTGTTCTTCTCACACAATTACTTAAGAAAATGGGAGCAGATTTACTTGGATCTGTGCAAGCAAAAGTTCAGAAGGCTCTAGATGTCACAAGGTAAGTGTAGGGGCTAGACCAGTTGGATGTTACTGGATTCTTATGGGTGACTTTTTGCATTTCTCTTCTGTTACCCATGGTCTTGGTTGCCCACTTGAATATCTCCCCTCTTCCTCAGTTCTCACATTCTCTTGTTGACATGTCCCACCAACCCATGAGATGAAATATCCATCATATCTTCCTGAGTTGGCATTATTTTTTGTGAATGCCTAAGACAAATGTAAAACCAAGTGTAAAACTTTGGAACTTGATTCTCTTTTCTTTAAAAAACATTTGAAGAAAACATTTAGAATATTTGTTTACATCTTTCTGAAGACCTTAGTATTTTTAATACTTTACCTTCTTATAAGTCACACTAGAAATTTTTCAACGTATGATTTAGAGTTTCCATTGGTCCAGGAACAGTCTGTAAATTGACAGTGCATTGGCTCAGAGATGGATAACACATTTATGGCAGTTGTGTCCCTTCTGGCTGTTATGAGAAAAGAAGTGCTGCCAAGGCTCAGAAAAGTTAAAAAGTTAAAAAATATTATGTGCTGTTGCTCTATTATCTGTGCAATTATCGGTCCTCAGATATAAGTATTGGAGATAATGATCTCAGAAGACACTTTGCAGTAATGTCTTGGTTGTGATTTGGTGGAAGATAGAGGGGAATGTCAAATCAGTAAACTTTTTAGAAGAACAAACAAGTGACTCCAAGTCACTCAGGAAATTATCAGGGCAATAACTTTTGTAAGACCCAATTACTGCAAACTGGAATACAACTACATATCACAGAATTTTCACAATGGAAGGAACTGAAAGATGATGCTCATTTTATCAGTGAGAAATTTTTGTCTTGACTTGTGCAGGGTCACACTTTGTGTTTAGTGGTACTCTGGGAACTAAAATCCATGATTTCTGATTGTTGCTGTATTGTCTGTTCCTGTTATTGCAGGCTGTACCCTGGGCCTGTGTCCTCCCCTCCTGTGTGTGTTGGGGGCGGTGGGGGATAGTGCTAGTGCCTTTTCTTCCCTCTAGAAGCATGTACTGCCCTGCGGCATCCCCCACGCTTGCATCTGTTACATGACTCTGACTTCAAAGCATGCGTCTGTCTCTCTGCACTATAATGCCAACTGGTTTTTTTCTGGTCCCTAACCTTGTCAATCTATATGATTTACACAGCTATATAATTCTATTATCCAAATAGATTTCCCTTCTGGTTTTCAGTGAACTCAGTGAAACATACTACGTTTATAGTAAAGCTTTCAAACTTTGAAATCATCTTTCCTTTGGATGATTAAGTTCAGTGGAATTAGGGAGCATTACTGTATACCAATGGATTTATAAAGGTTTGGCCAGGAATTGCTGGGGGCCTGGGCTGGCAAGCCGGCATGAATGAGTGAAGTAGAGAGGCACGAAGGCTACTGATAGGCTGGAGAGCTGCAGCCAGTTGTGGCCATGTGGGATCGTGTTGGGACATGAGCCCAGTGATACCAGACTTTTCAAAAAAGGTCAGAAATGTGGATTTGGGCAAGTTTGAGAATTTTTTATGACACTGTAAAGGCCAAATAAAACATGTATGAGCCAGACTTAGCCTGTATAGGTCACTTAATTTAGATGAATTTATAAATGACAATACCTGTTTCAGATTTTGGGGGATGGTGGGAATATTAAGATTATATTTCTTAACTTTGGTGATTGAGGAGTACAGTTGTGGCCTCCTACTAATTTTTCTGCATACCTCTTTGCTTTAAGAATCCTAATCTCTTTAGGGATCTGGGTCACCTAAAACATGTCCAGCATTTCCTTCTTTCTCTCAACAGCTGAAATGTATAGCTGTTTAAGCTTATCTGGAATCAGTCAGTGACTATTCAGGGGGCATTTCAGTGATGGCTGAGAGTGGTCCTTAGATTATTGACCTGAGTGCTAATCTGCCTCAGTTTCCTTTCCTTTGGCTTTGCCTAACAACAGGGCATATTCCCTGATTAAACACATCTGTTACTGAAATAAAATCCTCCATCACCCCTTGCTGTAGAAAGAGGGATGGGCATTTTGTGTTCCTGTTGACCTAGTCACTTAAATCATGCATACTAAAGCATACTGGATGTAATTTGCTTCCAGAAGTGGCCCTCAAAGATTCTGGGGTACAAAAAAATGTGAGAGAAAAGGATACTATTGGGTCAAGCTTACTTTTTGTTAGTGATTATAGTGATGATAACATTGGTATCTAATATGTGCCACATGCTTTTTATTTTTATGTATTATTTCATTTAATTTTCAGATTAGTTCTGTTAGGTAGATTTTATTTGCTTCCTTTTATAAATTTGAACCTACATCCTTCTTCATTTTACTATACTTCTATAGTTTGGGGAAAGTCTCTGTGGGAGTCCAAAGAAAGTAATGTGATCACTCAGCCTTAATTGTAATAGATATTTGCATTCCATTATCTTTCCTATTAATATGAAAGTTACATCAGCATTATCCGCATGGGGCTCCATTATGCAATTTTAATACTAGTAATTGTAGCATTTTTAGGGAAAGAGTACTGACTTTATCTAGCCAGGAGCACCTCAGGGTTATTTGATTGGATCAGAGATGTGCAAAGACTACAAGAGATGAGATCAGGAACAGGCAAGACATGGAGCAAGAGAAGGGGCTCCCAGGGCCACAGGCTTGTGTGTATGATTTGTAGGTGGATGGGAAATGCTTCGTTGCTGTCTCACGGGCATTCTGCTATGGTAACAACGCAAAATAGGATCATAAAAGTTATCAGGACCAAGGAGGACAATACAGTTAGCCTAAGCAGTGTCAGCTGTAAACACCTTTGTAAGGATATAAAAATAAGATTTGGGACCAGGCATGGTGGCTCACACCTGTAATCCCAGCACATCAGGAGGCCGAGGCTGGAGGATCTCTTGAGCGTAGGAGTTCGAGACCAACCTGGATAACATAGTGAGACCCCATCTCTTTAAAAAAAAAAAAAAATTTAGCCGGGTGTGGTTGCACATACCTATAGTCCCAGCTTCTGGGGAGGCTGAGGCAGGAGGATCACTTCGGCCCAGGAGTCTGAGGTTGTAGTGAGCTATGATGACTGGATTGCACTCTAGCCTGAGCAACAGAGTGAGACCCTCTCTCAAAAGAAAAAAAAGATTTGAGGATCAGAAGTGTTTTTAATGTTTAAGCAATATTCAGAAATGTAGCTGGAGGGAAAATGAGCAAATTCCTAGATGGGCAGGTAGGAATGTCTTCCTTAGTTTATTGCCTAGTCTTAATTTTTAAAATAGCTACTCAGAGTAACTTCTGTGTGTGTTTTGGGACTTTAAACAGGATTTTTCTTTTTCTAAATTTTCTGTACAAATGTGTATTTTCTTTACTATATACATAAAATGAAAAGTAGTAGTATTTTGAAATGTGAACAGGCCTTTACATATATGAATCTACGGCAGTATGCTTTTGTTAATTTTGTAATAAATTTTTTTAAAAACAATCACTTTTTTTTTGTTCCCTAGGGACTCCTTTCCATTCGATCAACAATTTAACATTTTGATGAGATTTATTGTGGATCAAACTCAAACTCCAAACCTCAAGGTCAGTAATTATTTGCCATTACAGTTCAACCTCTAGGCCTCAAATTTGTTTAAAATTTACTCATTTTAAATACATGACGCATCTGTTTAGTTACTGCGACTATCTCCTGTGAGCATTCTTGTTCAATTCTTTGTGGGCACGTTCCCACTTCTCTTGGTTCAGTGCTTAGTAGAGGAATTGCTGGTTCATTAAGTTGGTATGTGTTCGACTTTTTTAGAAACTGCTAACATGGTTGTACCGTATTATATTCCCACCAGCAGTGTATGAGAGCTCCAGTTCTACATCCTCACCAACTTTTGGGCATTCTTAGTCTTTTTCACAATTAATATTTAAACTAGAAAATTAAGACATTCTGATGTGTTAAGATTGGTATCTCATTAGAATGTTTCTTTAATATTAATATTCTAAGACTTCAATATTAACTGTGACATATTATAGAAAATCATACATATAATAACAAGACCAAAATTCGAGGGAGGATATGTGTTAATTTGAATTAAGTCATGTTCATCATCTGTTCTTCAATCATTAACTTTTGTTGGGGTTTGAAGATGGGCTAAAAATAATAACCCTTTTTTCTTGAGGCCAAAACCAGTTGAGAAATAGATGGTAAAGTCAGAGTAGAATGTCAGCTTGATGACTGAAAATGCTGCCTTATAGAACATGGCCTAGCATGTGTGACAAAATGAACTCAAGGGTTGATGACTGAAAATGCTGCCTTATAGAACATTGCCTAGCATGTGTGACAAAATGAACTCAAGGGTTGAAGTTGCCCTTGCAGTCAGTGGCAGAGCTGGAAATCCCACGGTCCCCCAACACGGGCTCCTATCCTGTGAGTGTCTGGCAGCATAGACAAGGAGCAGAGCATACCTTCTCTGCAGGCATAACGATCTAAAAATGAAGAGTATAGAGCTGCATACCACTTCCTGTACCTAAACTTACCCATTGGTCATTCCATGCTTTTCTCCTGATGGATGTCACTCCACTTGGAAGCATAAATCCGGGAGAAAGGAAGGAGGTTCCCTCTCAACAGTGTTCACTTTTCTCTGGCACCAGTTGAGAATTCTTTTCAAAGATTCATCAAGTATACTTAATGTTTATAATTATTGGATCTTTCAGGTCAAAGTTGCAATCCTGAAATACATTGAGTCTCTGGCCAGACAGATGGATCCAACAGATTTTGTAAACTCTAGTGAGACAAGGCTTGCTGTCTCTCGAATCATAACCTGGACAACAGAACCAAAGAGTTCAGACGTGAGAAAGGTATGTCCAAGTGAGCTAAAGTGTAATTACAGATTGTTCTTAGGCATGTGTTAGAAAAAGAAATTTATTTAGAAACTTGCAAAACCAACCCACCCACCCACCTACAAACCTTTGTCACCCTTTTTCTGTGAAAAACAGGGTTTTGCTATTGCCTCTTTTTTTCTATCTCTGGCTCTGCCCAGTTCGTCTTTGAATATCAAAATGAAAATCCAAAGTCTTGCGTGATGCATTCATGGTTTTCTCAGGCATCTGTTTTATGTATTTTATAATATGAAATCACTGTATTTTAGTGTCTTTTACAAGGACAATTGTTTTCCTTATATCCGTTTGTAACACATACTTCGAAGATGGAAGATCTAAGGCTAGCTGGCTATAGGGTGTCTGATAGTAAAATGTGGTTGAAAAGTTTGATAAGCTATAATGGATTCTTGAGTTTAAAAAGAGCAAAGATCTTCCAGTTATAAGCATGTGTGTGTCTATGTGAGTATGTGCTGTTGTACTGGAATGTTACTTAAGTATTCCCTACCATGGGCTGAAATATGTTTTAGATTTATGTATTACCTTGATTAGGGCCTGTTTGAGACATCACTTTATGTAGATGTGAACATTAGAAAACTTGAAGAGAAAAAAAAAAGAAAATTTGAACTAGGACTTACTATCCTTACTTTCCTAATCAGGACATTGCAGGAACTTCCTTTTTTTAATTATCTAGCCTGGGGTTCCAAAAATCTCAACTTATTTTAAAATTAGCTCAAGTCAAATATGATTAAGAAATTAGATTTATTGCCAGAAATCAAATGGTTTGTTTACTATTTGACCTTCAAAACATTTTCAGTTATTTTGGATTATACAGTGTTGCTTCACAAAGCTTTGTCTTCATCAGCATGTTACTTTCGATGCCTGCTCCTGTTTCTCCTCCTACCCCATTATGAGGTCTGCTTAATTCCTCATATTCAGACGTACCTTAAACCCAGGTTCTGATATAATAATCCTTGTACTGGGAGGAATTTGAGAAGATTTGGGATTAGCAGTTCTGTCTTGGCTACAATTAAAATCAACCCAGATTTCTGGGCTCCGCTCCCGGGTAATTTTATTTAATTGCTATAGGGTAGAACCTGGGCACTGTGTTGTTTTTGACTGGGGTTTGCTTTACTCTTGGCTGATTGTTAATGCACAGAGTTGAAGCCCAGTATTTTAGACCATTCCCCTGGGCTTGAACATTAAGACATGCAGATTGCTGATATAGTCTTGAACTTACTCTAAGTAAGACTTAAAAAAAAGAAAGGATCCACACTCCACATCTAGACACATCAAATCTAACTATTAAAAGCCAAAGAGAGAACCCTGAAATCAGCAAGAGGGATCCTCAATAAGATTAACAGCCGATTCCTCATCAGAAAGCATGGAGGATAGAAGGCAATGGAATGGCATTCAAAGTGCTGAAAGGAAAAACATAACTGTCAACCAATACTTTGCTATTCAGCAAAACTGTTCTTCAAAACGGAATGACAAATTGAAACAAAACCAGCAAGAGATTTTCTCTCACTCTGACTCTCTCTGACCTCTTTTAAGGGCTCAGCCGATTAAGTCAGGCCCACCTAGGATAATCTGCTTGATTAACTCACAGACAGCTGATTAGGAAACTTAATTACATCTGCACAAATCCCTTCTGCCGTGTAACATAATCATGAATATCTATCATCTTCCAAGTCCTGCTCACTCTAGGGGAGGGAATTATATAGGGTGCGTATGTGGGGGTTTGGGAATCTTGGGGGACCTAGCTTTTTTGGCTACCGAGGCTATAGTGTCTCTCTGGGTGGATTGGCAGAAGTATTTCATAGTTATTTTATGATTTCTTATATCTTATTTATGTAGGGAGCTTTTTTATCTGTCCATGCAAATTGTGATGTGGTTCAACTATGCTAAGTAAGAACTCTGTATTCTGGGCACCCTCTGGAATTTTTTTATCATCTGAGATTCTAGATTATTTGGTTTTCAGTACACATCCAGGACTGACTAGTAAAGCATTATTATTTGATTCAAATAGGTGTGTTACAGCACAGTATTCAAACATGTTCTTTTGCCTGATAGCCACAAACGATACATTAGGGCACTGCAGGTTAATCCTTTCGGAGATGGATTCACTTTTATTTAAATGTTCTGTTTTGATGTACCATCCACTGGACATTTATAAATATAGTTGTTGTAAGTGATGCAGCTGCCTTACCCAAGAATATGGGATTACCCAAGAATATGCCTAAATGAATATAGTGCCTAAATCAATTAAAATACTTAGCTGTGTTAAAAATTAAATTGGGACCATTCTTATCGAGGTACTTTAATGCACTAAAGATAAAATACGTGTCTGTTTTAAATAAACTTATGTTTTGCCTCATCTTTAACTTCCAGAGTTTTTCTAAAGGCTGTATCAGGTATTGTGGAAATCTCGTGATTTAAAATCATTTTATGATCTTGAACAAAGTCCACTTGTTAGCATCTTACTTCGATTTCTTAAGAGTAGGGTAAGGTTATATTCTAAATACTAGAAGAGCCCTTCAGTCTGAATTCTATAAAGTAAACTCTCATATTAGACTCATCTCTGGAGAACATTAATTTTATGGAACCAATACCTGGGGAGTTTGCAGAGGACATAATTTATTCTCTAAATCTATCAGATTGTATTTGTGAAAGCACTTTTGAAGTGTTTTAAACTGATATAAACTGATACATCTTAGATTCATTGACCTTAGCATTTTTAATATTTTGTTTTCCTTAGTGTTTTGGGGTGTTTCACATTGTAGAGGCATGGATGCTTAAATATTTAAAGTGTTTTTAAAACCAAAACTAGTCAATAAACCATCACCAGTGAGGCATGCTTATCAGGCTGAGACTGGTTTGGACTAGATGGAAAAACCCAACTCAATCTTTAGCTGGCGTGCTTTATTCCAAAAGTGACCTTTTCCATTTTCTAAGTGTGGGAGCCCTGACTAGCTGTGTCAACAAAACTGTGCAGAAAAGTACACTAGACCTTTCTTGATGCACCGTGGTGATATAAGGTAATAACATGTATTACTGGCAGAAAGAAAGAAAGTGAACTCTAGAGTTTGACCTCCCTTTGGCTTTTGCCTCTGCCACTCGTAGTGATGGGACCCAGTAGTTTAATCTCTGAGTTTTGTTTGTTATCTGTAAAATGGGACTAATAATGCTTGCCTCAGGCATTATTGGGAGGATTAAATTCAACATAGTCTGTAACAACATAGGTAAATATTACTTTATTTGCTGTTGCGGCTCCTGCTATTGTTTGAGGGCTGTTTTGATTTTGCTGCTGTTGTTGGTTATGGAACAAATTAAGCACCAAATTTTTCCAGCATTTAGGGAGCCATGTGATCAATCAAAGGGAACGTGGTAATGGCAGTAGATGTTTAATTGTATTATATGTTTATATTTTGTGATTCAGAACATCTGTATGTTTGCTTATCATATGTGGTTCTATTTATCAAATGAACTAACAGATTTAGCCTCCGAACATTGTTTTGAGAAATGTGGGAAGTGAAGACATGGCAGTGGAACCTAGAAAATATAAAGATGCTGTTGGCTAGAGCAGGAAAAGTATATAAATAGTCTTGAGTGGGGAGAGGGGATGGGTATCTTCATGCCTAATGGGTGCGATGCGCACCATCTGGGGGAGGGACATGCCCGAAGCTCTGACTCGGGTGGGGCAAAGGCAATATACATAAGCTAAACATTTGTACCCCTGTAATATGCTGAAATAAAAAAAAAATTAAAAGAAAAAAATAGTCTTGAAAAGGTGAGATTTCTGTTAACTTTTTTAAAAATCTCTGATTATAGAGGCAATATGGCCTAATCTAAAAGCTAAGGGTTTTACAAAACATCAAATAAGATTTGAATCTCAGCTTACCTGTGACCGTGAGTCTCTTTCAAGTCTTGTTTTGGTCTCTGATCTTCCATTTCATCACCTGAAGCAGGAAACAGTTATTTCCAGGAAGGGTTATTAAGTAAAAGACCTAACAAATGATTGAGGGTTAAAACTGGCAGCTACTGTTGTTTTTCTTTCTAACTTTTGATTATATGGGTCTCACTGATTTTATATAAGAAGCCAAATACTTTAACAGCTAACAAATAGCCATGGTTAAGCCCTTGCTGCTTCTCTCTGATGGAATCCTCCCGCCTTTCCTGTTCGCCAGTCCTCGCTTCAGCGTAGTCGAGTAGGTGAGGATTTCCCCACTAGGTCAGCTTCAACCTGCTCTGGGCCTGGAGAAGGAAACTTGGAAGAAAAGTGTAAACAGGTAGATTGAAAACTGTGTACTAATTTCAAACAACATACTTCACTGTTTGTATTTTAGATTATTAATACCAATTTCCTTGTAAAGATACTGGAAGATTTTGAAAAAACCTAAAAATAATATAATACTATGTGAGCGTGTGTGCGCACCTCTGTCAGTGTTTGTGTTCTGGCATGTTTTATGATTAACCACCTTTCCAGTGGAATAGTCGTGTTGAGTGTAGACTGCTACCATGTTTTAATAGAGTAGCAAAAAAGAGAAATGCTAGGCTGGGCCCAATGGTGCAGGCCTATAGTCCCAGCTGCTCAGGAGGCTGAGGCAGGAGGATCCCTTGAGCCCAGGAGTTTGAGGCTGCAGTGCACCATGATTGCCGGTGTGAATAGCCACTGTACTCCAGCCTGGGAAACACAGTGAGACCCTATCTTTTTTTTTTTTTAAAAAGAGAGAGATACTAAATTAGAAATGTCTGAAGGTTTTGGAATACTTTAATGATTTTTGAATCAACTTTAATGACAGTCTGAAAGGAAGAGTAAGAGTTGTTTAATTAGAAAATTCTTTGCTTTTCCTCTCAAATTTTAAGTTTTCCCAAATTAATTCCAACACTGATATATTTGGCAAAGCTGTAATGTCTTACCTGCTAAGAATAATTCCTTTCTGCTGTAAGATATGCAGCATTCAAGGCAGTTGATGTCCCTAGGAGATCTCTGCAAAGAGTAGCAGTAAGATTTGACGAACTTTTTTCCCTTACCCATCAAATTTCGCTATAAGGATATAAGAATGCTTTCCTTTTAAGTTGCCACTCGATACTTAAAATAAAATGCTCTGGAGTTATCTGTTCAAAAAAGTGAGGAGCACTCTGAGTTTTTTGTCTGGCTGCCTAATGGTCCTGCCTCTAGTGGAGACAACAGTGCAAAGATGTGGACAGGAACAGTGGCATGCTCTACTTTTTTGAGTCATTATTGAACATGAGCTCTGCTCCACGCTTTTTTTAAATGCCTTCTCCAACACAGCTCCATATTTGGAATTATTTCTTTAACGAGATCGTATTGATGGTAAAGATAAACATAACCAAGTTTTATTTCTTGCTTGGATTCTAATTATTTTGACTTCTCATTAACTGTGAGGGTCATAGATAAAATATTTTGGACCCATAACAATCTCATTCCTTGTAAAACTTGAATGTAAAATTTTTTAAAATTTTTAAAAATTTTTTAAAAGAATTAATTTGTGACATGTACCTGTAGTCCCAGCTTCACAGGAAGTTGAGGCAGGAAGATCACTTGAGCCCAGGAGTTTGAGGCTATAATACCCTATGACCATGCCTGTGAATAGCCACTGCACTCCAGCCTGAGCAGTGTAGCATGACACTGTCCCTTAAAAAAAATTATACTTAAATGATACTTTCTACTGATTTCTAGAACTTAGACCGCATTAGAAAAAGATTTTACTTTAGAAATGGCTTTAAGCTACTAATTTTATAATTTGCTTCATGAAAGGCCTCAAGTTAGTCTGTGACATTAGATAACATATGGTTCTGGGAAGAAATGTCGTTTTTTTAAATAAAGACAGTATACATTTTACATGAAAATATACTATTCAAGAATGTATGATACATTTTATAATTTTCAAATGCCATTTTCAATCACAAAATCTAACTGCCTATACTTTTTTATTAAATTGATGACACTGATGTTTTTTCCTGCTAAAACTCACCTGCTTCTTTCTTTCTCCTTGTAGTGCAGTTTTTCTGCATGCATTGTTTTTTCCTAACATCTAATAAACGTTTTTAAAAAATACACAGGTTACTTTGCATGATTTTTGCAAATTGTTCTATAATATGAACAAACAAATCATGTTAACTGTACATTAAATTGGTGATGAAATAGATTTCTTTGGATAATGATTTATTAAAAATGTTTTGATTAGTGAAACATAGAAAATTATATTTTACTACAATCAAAAATAATGCTTCTTGCCTGTGTCATGAAAGTACACTGGTCACTTGTGATTTAATTTGGGTAGAAAGACTATTAATGACTATATTTGGAGATCAAGGGTAAAAAGTAATGTGCTTTTTGCCCAATGCTGTGTTTAATGAATGCTACTGAAATGTTGAAAAAGTCATTTTTGATTCTGTAAAGAATGTTATTCTACTGATACTTTTTAATTCATAATATTTTTTATTTTTTTTAATTTTTTTAAATTTTTTATTAATCCCGGTCAACCTCAAATAATTAATGTCTTATGTTTAGGGTTTTTTTCTTCTCCATGCACAAAATAATAGTTTTGTCCTAACTGGACCTAGAATTAATTTTGACATTGTAAAAGCATTGCAATATTTTGTGATGTTTATTTCCAAAGAATTTAAGTGAGCACATTTTTATGTAATATTCTGTGTCATGGAAAAAAATATTCTGAATAATTACTTCAGTCCTAAAATTTACAGTCTTTAAAAATATTTTATGCGTTTGCAAAAATGAAAAAGATGTCTGTATACACAGGAACAGTTTTTTCATAATGTCTTTTCCTTTCTCTTGACTCTTAGAAATTAATAAGAAATGCCAGTTAGTATTTACTAAAAATTTTTTTTTTTGGCTTTAGCTTTTGTAAATCAAAACCCTTGTCATTAATTCGTTTAGGCATAATTTTTAAGCTCAGATTGCCTGCTACTACTAAATCAGTACCATAACAAGCACATTACTTGCTAGAAAAGCCCAAATCTCATTTAGCTATTCTTATTTCGGCTAATTGCTTTCACCACCTTGCTGCTGCAGTCATTAAAAGCGATCCTGCAGGAGGTTGTCTTAATTATTATAATAAAGGAAAGTAGAACATTTTCCAAAAGGCAGAAGAGCACGTTTTTAATTTACACTCCTTGGAAGTCTGATTTGTTTTTCAAAAGTCTTTGTCCTTGGTTCATAGATACAAAACTAGGAGTTTTTCAGATGCATTTAAAGTCTTTTTCTAGGATTTCTTGGTCAAGAGGAGTGGGGTTGAGGAAAAGTGGTTTCTCAAGATAACCCAGTGGCAGCTTATTTAAAAATGAGTCCTTCCCAGGATGTACTGGAAACCCTGTGCAGTTCCGAATTATTACAGTGGGAATAATCTTAAGCCATTTTAGATTTTTTAATTGTTCCATTTACCTATTTACCAGCTTCCTTCCTTGTGCCAGACAACAAAGGAAAAGTCACAAGAATTTATTGTTGACGTGCTGTGGAAATCCAAGGCCAGGGCATTAAAACAAAGCCAGGATTTATTTTCTAGATTGAACTCAGACTATTTGTGATTGATAATATTATTTTCTCCAGAAGCTTTTTGTTTTTGTTTTTTATGCCATGAGTGCCCTCTTACTACTATTTAACTTATACAAAAATGTTTTCTTTTAAAAACAATTTTAATGAACATTTTGACTAGGACATGTTATTGCACATTACATAAATTAATCATGGTTTCTTTTTCTAGGCAGCACAAATTGTGCTAATTTCTCTGTTTGAATTGAATACTCCTGAATTTACCATGTTACTTGGTGCCTTGCCAAAAACATTCCAGGATGGTGCCACCAAACTCCTGCATAACCACCTCAAGAATTCCAGTAACACCAGTGTGGTGAGTGCTTTGGCCACAACTAGTGCCTGTGTGCTGACCATGATCTCAGTGTGTCCCTTGTCTAGAACCTTCTCTTAAATGGAACAGCCAGTTTCCTCATTGGTTTTCAGTAGATGTGAGCATCTTCAGGGTCAGGGTTGTGTCAGATCCTGCCATATGCCCGGTGAATAAATGAACCTGGTACTTAAATGGGACCTTTTTCTTACGTTAGGTTGTTCAATCAGTTTCATTTTTACTAGATCATCTAATTATCACTCATTCATCGAGTTGGTCTTATTTTGAATACTGTAAAAGTTCTGAATGCTCAACTGTGTCTGTCACTCTAGCACAATTGACAGCAGTCATTTGATTCCAGGAATGCCTCTATGACTGATGTTTATCCATTTTTGGTTTATATGCATTTAAAATTGGCCTTATGATTCTGAAAAAAAATTATTTTGGGAAGATTCTACACATTTATTTATATGTGGGTTAAAAGACCAAGAGAAGAGTGGTACTATACTCTGCATACAGCTCTTGAATAATGATGCCTATTCTGCCTTCACCCCAGGGCTCTCCAAGCAATACGATTGGCAGGACGCCCTCCCGACACACCAGCAGCAGGACTAGCCCCCTGACCTCACCCACCAACTGTTCCCATGGGGGTCTGTCTCCAAGGTAAGGTCATTTCCACAAAAGTAAAGGAGCTAAAGCATCTCAGCGTCCATGCAACCTATTTCTAGATTTTTAGACTAAGTTTAATACCAAAAAGAGTATTGAGTATCAGGAGATCATAGGTTCTAGTCTTCCCTCAAATTGTAACTGTGTAATCTTGGGCAAAGAGTTTAATTTCTAAGGTAAAATGAGTGGTCTGTTCTGAATGTTCTCTGTGGTTCTTCTAGCTCTAAACATTTTGTAGTACCTTGCAGATTTTAAAACTGAAAGTTACATTTAGTACTTTTACATAGAATCCATGTAGAAGTTCATTATCTAGTCTACAAGTGATAGGAGAACCTGAAGGTATTTAGTCATCTGTGTAAACCCTTTATGGTCAGTCCACACCAAGTCAGGAGTAGTTTTCCAGTGAAGTAGCCATTCCAAGCTTAGTTGATATCATATGTGAAGCAGGATGCTGTTCTGAAGGGCCATGATTTAGAATCTGGGAACTAAAATTGGATCAGGATTCTCAGACTCTTGTTGGGACCATGCGAACGTTGGCCTGATAGAATCTGGGCAAGTGACTTAAAAAGAGAAAATCCTTTGTCTAAGGATCCTTCAATAATACCTCACCGTCTGACCAGAGCCTTTAGAAGTCTGCATAGTGGCTTCAGTGACCCCCTCACGTGGGTTGGAAGTCATCCGTGGCCCCACTCAGAGTAGTGGCCCTGTAGGCCGGAATTTTTAGAAAAGAGCCAGTGTCTGGACCAGCAAGGAGCGCACATGCTATTTGTCTGCAAGTCCAGATCTTCAGGATCACTTACAAGAGGAACCAGGAAACTGTTGTACTAAGGGTTGCTGGCACCAAGATTTTAAAATGAAATGAAAATACTATTTTCCCTTTAAGGGTTACCTCTTTATTAGGAAAATATCAAAACATAATTACTTTTAAATTTAAATTTTTTAATGATCAAAAGTCTCTCAAATTCCTTCCTTACCACTGACGTTTGCTTTAGTTCCTCAGTTATCCTTTAAATATTTTGGAACATAACAAATTCGTATTTTTCATTTGGTAAAACGAAGTATTTGATACACCTTTGGTATCTTGTTATTTATATTGCCTTATGTTTACTTTCCCAAATGTCCCCCTGTACTATTTTTACATAGAATGAAGCATGATATTGTGTCTCCAAGTTTGGTCTATGTTGTCATGATTTCAGCAGGACCATTGAGACCAGAGACTAATGAAGATATGTCTGACTTTCCCCAGGTGTGACTGAGGCTTAGCCAACTTTTTTTTTAATGGTAACATCTGTATCTAAAGAACATGGTGTGTCTTAAATGACCAGGGTCCAGTGTTGACAGTAAAATCATAAAGTTCCTGGTGGGCAAAATTTTATGGAAAACTTGAATTCTCTGTAAATTGTTGGCATTTGTCTAGAAGTGATACTTCTACAACATAATTGAAAAATCTGTTTTTCCATTGTACACAGTTCATACATCTTATCTTTTAGTTATTGCATGCTTAGGGGGGCATATTCCTTAGTAATAAGCAAAAAGAACTCAAGTACTTTATTATTATATATGCGAATAGTCTAAGAAAAAAATTGGTAGGGGCTGCTAGCATAATTCATCAGCACTAAGAACTGGCTAGATATCTTCATGGATCCCTGAGTCATTAAAAGTTTTATTTTTCAGATCACCATTCCTTCTTAATTGTCCTCATGCTAAATTTTACTGTTAGGATTACAGATCAGTGGAAGAAATGGAGATTTATTTTTAATGTTAAAAAGTCCAAGTGTGGCCTATATATTTTCATGTCTTCAAATTATTCTTTAGGGAATTATTTAGTTATGTAGTTTCTTTCTTTTTTAAGGAAAAAAAAACCTGCCCTCATCCAATATATAAATAGCCCAATGGCCTTAGCCAACTTGAGCTCATAAGAGAAATGATTTTTGTCACCATTAAAACTTTCCCGTACGGGGAAAAACTGCCCATCATGTCACTAGAAATACGCAAATCAGCTATGTACTCTCTAACAGGAAACTTATAAAAGGAACGGATTCTTGCACCAAACAGGAGACTTGACTGGGTTCCCTCCTTCTAAAGAGATGATAAACAGGTCTACAGTATATAATCTCAGCTATTTTTCTGAGCAGTGCTCTTGAAATGTTGATTTTCTGTGACCTGATGTTCTTTCAAATGATCATGACGATATAATGTGAGCTTTTTATTCTTAAGGGGAAAAGCTATTACCAGTTATTTGTTTTTAATCTAATTTTGAGTATCAAAATGAACTAGGTTTTTTTAGTCCAAAAATTTTATACTTGGATAGATCATAGTGATAATAAGGAACTCTTCTAATATGATAAACAACTTTAATTTGATAGTTTTTCTCCACTAGTGAAGAAGTCATTTTTATCAACCCAGTAGTATTAGAGGTGCCACAGATAACAGGTTTAACTTTTGTAAAACATTCCATTACTCATCATTTCTGTATGACGGAAGAATTTCTGTTTATTACCAGCTAATACACAACTACCACTTGGTATTTGGAGAGGAGCTTTGTGAGCTAGGGTCTTTAATCATTAAACCCATTTATATTTCACCCAGCGTGATTTTATGGGTAAACGAAAAACAGAGTTGCAGGAGGCTTCAAAAAGCATCTGAGGTCCATTTCCTTTATGAAAAAAAAGTATATGGCGGTCCTTGCTCTGGTCTGCTGCATATTCTTGGCAAACATGTCATAGAGCAGGATGGCACTACAGAAATATCCTTTGTGTCCCATAGCAGTAGAAGTAATTGTAGGTAGATTTTACATTCCTCTTGTCAGAGAATCAAGGGCATCCATAGGATCAAAGTGAGGATTAACTGGAGCCCCTGCCCCACACTTGGAGGTCAGTGTGTCTGCCTTCTCCTTCCCCATCAGCAGAGCCCCAGCCTGAAGTGTCACCTGTGTTCTTCTTATGCCCTCACCTCCGACCCAGTGTGTGACTTGGAGAAGGTCTTTAGGCCTCTGTGTGGCAGTGACCTCTCATCTCCACACCTTGTTTTGCTTATAAAACCGTACCTGGGCTCGGGGAGGTGAGCGTGCTGCGCCGGGGCTCCTGCCGTGAGGATGCCAATGAATGCCGGCGGCGCAGGCAGGGCTGCCCTATCTCTGATGCCGCGGACTCTGCCCTTGGCCCTGCCCACATCACCGGCCAGTCCAGCCCCTCCCTTTACCACTCTCTCACGCCATCCTTTTGAATTGCAGCAGTGTATTAGAACTTTCCTTTGGGGCCTCTGCAAGCCCAGGTCACGCAGGGACGTTTGTGAACCGAAGGTGAATACCTGTGTTCCAAGATGAATTTTAATTGTCATATTAGGTGATATGAACAGAAGAATTTGATTTTTTTTGGCTTCCCTACTCTGAGCTGGCCAGCTGAGACTTAATACCCTAGCCTTCTAGTGGTGCTGCAGTTCCTTCAGAAGGAAATCGCTTGTGGGGGTCTCTGAACTCCATCTGATTAGATCCCAGCCCCAGAGACCACGTTGTCCCACACCGGACTGCTCTTGTCAGAATAGCAAGGTCTCTGAGTCTTCCTGCTGGAGTCCCTCTGGTTGCATTTGAATGGAAGCCCCCTAATTCCTTCTTTGGTTCTTTCTAAAACAACTGATGAGTTATCTGAAACCGAACATCCATATTTTCTTGTCAGTGCTTGTGACATCCTTCCCAACGCAGGCAGACATACTCACACATACACACAATTCCACACATGGACACACTTGAAATCTCATGTGATTTTAAGTTGTAAATGCATCCCATGATCGGGAGGGAAAAGAATAAAGCAGTCTTATTGAGCACCAAATTGTAAAATGAAATTTGTTTTTTTCCTCTATGTGATGAAGTGTTAATTTTGCTCTGATTAATTTTCATAGAACTTTGTCAAGGAAAGAGGAGACTCTAAGACACTTAGAATAGAGTGTCTTTCTCCTCTGCTCCCCTTTGCCTTTTGTGTTTCTCTCTCTGACTTTCCTCTTCTGATCACTGCAGTCGGTTGTGGGGTTGGAGTGCCGATGGGTTATCGAAGCACCCACCTCCCTTTTCTCAGCCTAACTCCATTCCCACCGCTCCCTCCCACAAGACTCTCAGGCGCTCTTACTCTCCCAGGTAACACGCTACCTGTTAAACTTGTCTGAGGTGTCACAATATTATTGCATTTCCAAGGTCGTCTCAGGTCTTTTGGAAAGCCTCTCAGCTGCCTCCGGTGTGGTCCCTGCCTTGGCTTGGCCTAGCAGGAGGAGAGCCTTGGTGAGAAGCGTGAGCAGGTGTGTAGTCTTTGCCGAATCTCACGAGGATGGCTCCTGCCATGTCACAGGAACAGATGACCCTTTCGTCACCTGACTAGATTCATCACTGTGTGCTGTTGTAGGCCTTTCGGCCTAGTGCCGTGCTCAGCCCCCAGAAGGAGCTCAGGAAATGCCGTGAAGTCAAGGCAAGCGATAGTGGGAACAGTTTCCTGAGCATGCTTCTCAAGTGCACCAGGCATCCCACTAAGAAACAAGAGACATGCTCGCTGTCAGCACTGCTGTTGGCTGTGTGGCTGTTATGTGCTGATAGTCTGATCGCACAAACCCAGAAAGGAAGCCCCAGGAGGTGGGATGGCTGTTACATGTCACTGCAGATGCCTGCCTCTAGGAAGGAGAGCCGTCAGTCACCTCACAAGCCCCTGCAGTTGGTGCTGAGTGAAGCTTATGGATGCAGGTTGAATCTGATGGTGTTGTGAGTCTGGTAGAAGGGGTGGGCTTCCCTCAAATATTAATACGGATGGCAAATCTGTGATATGAAGAAGGGGCCACGTAGTACTACAGATGTTTATTTGAGAGTCTCTCGGGGTGATTTTTGTAAAGCTCCAAAGATCAGAGAATCCCTTCCCTAGAAACCTGTGAGCGCACAGGGCAGCCCAGCTGTAATTATGCTTTGTAAGATGAGTTTGTACCTTCCGTGATGGGACAGGAATTAAAAGACAGTCTGTTGCTTTTGAAATACTTTATAGATAGCTTTTGCATAGAAGATTTGCATTTCTACTTTTGTATCCTCAACATAGCAAAGCCAAGCACAGTAAACAAGTCTGCTAAATATTTTAACAACGTCTTTCTTTTGAAGCTCTTACAGCTCTAAAAGTAACTTGTAAAGTTTACAGAGAACCCTATGATGAGTTTTTCTAGATACACAAGGTTAGAGCAAGGAGACAAGAAGACGGCTGCCGTCTTTAATGTTGACAAAGCATGTCACTGTCTTTGTTTAAAGGTTAGCTGTGCGTCTATCAGTTACATGAGGGAATCTGTGTCTCTCTTTGCTCTGCGCCAAAATCTTATTGATTTCATAACAAGGAATGATTATCCTTACTCCATACCTAGTATTCTTTCCCTACAAAATGACAAAGAAGAAAACCTTAGAAGGCAGACTTCCTCTCTCCAGTTTCTTCTTGGAGACCCATGTTTCTCCCCACCCTGGATGGGATCCTGTAGAGGGCAAGCCCAGGGCTGTATTCAGCTTCAGTACTGGGTGACATGGCCTGACCTTAGGTCTGTGACTGTTGACTGAGTAACTTCCTAATCTAAAGAACCCTAAGGAAACCCTTCTGGGGTCTAATCATTGTGTTTACAGGTGACCAGGACCTGACCTTTAACCCAAAGGATTATGTCCCGGGGTTATCTCAGAGCTGAAACGAGAGGGACGGTGGGCAGGTGCCAGCTTGAGGTTTGCCTAGGTCTCTTCTCAGTCACCTTCTGAGGCCATGCTGCTGCTCCCTGTTGTCTGTCTTGTGAGGACACAGCATCTACTCCTGACGGAGGCGTTCACGGGAAGTTCCTTTTTGCCTGTGAAGGGAGGACTTATTGATGTATTAAAAAAAGGCACATCAAGCCAAAGAATAAAAATAGCAAAGAAAGTAGCAATGTCTGTTTCCTGTTGGAGGAGAACAGTATGTCTCTCACCTGGAGCTCACCGTTTTAGCTTCATACCAAGGAGATGCTTCAATCCTCAAGCCAGCGCATCCAAACGAAGTCACCTCAGAGTGCACTTGGACATGCACGTGGTGCTCCTGAATTGGAAGTCTGAGTTGGTTTATTACTTTAAAATGAGGAGGAGGAACATTACCTGGCAGAATATTTTCTTACTTTAAAAAGAGGCTATTATAATGGTAAAGTTGTATGAACTGAAATGAAATATTTTAAGAAAGTTCAGGTTAAGAACAATGAGATGAATTATCTGGAAGCTAACATTATCTGAAGCGACATGTGGAAAATAATATTGTGACATCCCTTAAACAACTTGAATATTCCTCCGGATTTCCTCTTGTCCATCCCATCATTCTTTCCGTTTTTAATTGTTTTTTCTTTTGCATGGGCTATGCTATATTATTTTTGGTTGTCGTTATTAAAAGTATTTTAAGGCATTTTTTTTTTTTACATCTTGTATATATTTTTTGTTTGAGTCATAATACTCAGTCTTTACATATAAAAAAAAATAGTGTACTGGCCAGATGTATAAATGCCTTTGTTCGTATGTAAGCTAGTATTTGGCGTTCTAAGAAAAGGGGGTAGGAAGCCTCTGGCTCCTCAGTCGTGCTTTCTTCACATCCACGGGGTATTGCCTCATAGACAGACAGCCTTGTTGTGAACTTAGAAGGGATTGAGATTTTTGAATTCTGTTCAGGTTTTTAATTCCACCCCCTGTCAGTATATACATGGAATTTCAGCTGCAAACATGTTCAAGGTTCACATTTCTTTTTATTTGATGCCAGAGCCAGTCTTTGAGTTGGCATGTATTTTTGTGAGCTCTCCAAATATAGGTGAGGTGTGTTTTTTCTTCCCTTCATCAGGAAAGATGGGTTCTATCTGGGCCAGTTTTGCAATTTAGGCAAATAGCCTCCATCTCTGGGGAGTGAGTTCAGGTCTCATGTTCTAGCCTTAGAAAACACTGGGATCACTGCAACCTTAAGCCGGCAGAGATCTGGCTACTCCAAGTGAGAGTCTCCAAGTCTTATATTGCTTATCTACTCAAACTTTTTTTTAAGTGGGGGGAGGGGCTTAGTAACTGTTAATTGTTTTTATGTCACAGGAAACTTGCTTGGGGGAATGTAACAGAGTTGATTGCCTTGGCGTGAGGGTGGGTTCCCGCCAGTGGGTGCCTGGTTTCTTCAGTTACTAGTCGTTGAAGAACAGAAAGAGTACTCTTGAGTCCTTAATAAAGTTGCATGCTCACTTACACACAGCCAAGGATTCTTCGATCCTCCCTGGCAATCCTCAGTAGAGCTCAGGATTTCTGCAAGTTAAATTAGACTAACTTGTCTCATCTTTTCTTAAATATGTTCTTAAAACAAGTGACATTTAAGCTAAATTTTTTTTTTTTACTTGCCCTTGGTTGACTGTTGCTTCCTATTTTGCTTTCTTTACGCTGCTATATCCATCCTGTGCTTTTCTTTGATAGTCTCAGTGAGGGCAGTGATGGTTTTGTTCTCAGGATCCTCCCTGTTTCCGTACACTTTTCAGACATCTAAACGGCACTTGCTGACCAACTATATTACACAAAAAGACTGTTCAGCTTTTTTGTTTCATTTCATGTTTTGCTATGCTCAGTGTCTAAAAAGATGGCAATTGACATCACTTTTCCATGAGGGACAAGTATTTCTTGCTTATAGAAGGGTTTTTAGATGTCCATCCAGAAATGTGGCCTTTTATAAAATCTGCTTTTATTATAAAACTCCAGTGGAAGCATCCAGAAGAGTCTTGATATTCACAGCAAACTCCTGGGTTAGACGACATGAGAGTTAGACTTTCAGGAGCCCATTGGGAGGGTGGCTCTGACTTTGAGTCATAGAGTTGCTTTGTTTTTGTTTTTTTAGATAGGCTTTTATTAGTTTTCTAGGTTGGATACTGGCAAGCATAACCCAGTCTTGTGAGGTCATTTGCTTTGCTCCTGTGAAATTTGTTTCTAGTACCGGCTTTATTTCCAAGTGCCCATTTTTCTTTCTTTAAGTTTGTACATTTGAGACCAGTAACAACCAAACTACTTTTTTCCATCTTCAAGATAAGAAAGTTATTTTTCCACTTTCATTACCTCGTGCATTCAGTCACCAATTGTCACTCTTTGAGTTCGTGCATTCTCGTGCGTATTGTTGTTTCCCACTGATTCTTATTGAGTGCTGATGTAATGTGTTTGGGACCAGATGTGACAAGAAAGATGTATAATTGTCCAATGGTGCTACTTTAACAAAAGATGTCTGCTTTTCATTCCAAACCACCTAAAGAAACAAAACTATAATTATGTCTTACTCTGTCAATTACTGGAAGTAACTTGTGCCCTTATCTCAATTTTATGCATATGCCTCAATTTAAGAAATAAAATATTTTTGATCTTTAGCATGCTGGACTATGATACAGAGAACCTGAACTCTGAAGAAATCTATAGTTCTCTGCGTGGAGTTACAGAAGCCATTGAAAAGTTTAGTTTTCGAAGTCAAGAGGATCTGAATGAGCCAATTAAACGAGATGGCAAAAAGGACTGTGATATTGTAAGTATCCCCAGGCTAAATAAAAGAGAACAACGTATCAATTAAATGACATTTACTGAGTCTTCTGAACACTGACCACCTTGGTTACCGAACTTCCACATTATTTTTATTCTGTAGTTAGTATTTTTTTCCTTTTATTTTTTAGTTGACACATAAATAATTGTACATATTTATGGGATACAGAGTGATATTTCAATACATATATACAATGTGCAATGGTGAAATCAAGGTAATTAGCATATCCATCACCTCAAACATTACTTTTTTGTGTTAGGAACATTTCAAAATCTCCTCTTCTAGCTTTTTGGAAATACGCAATAAGTTACTGTTAACTATAATTACCCTACAGCGCGACAGGGCACTAGAACTTACTCTTCCTATCTAACTGTAATTTTGTACCATTAACCAACCTCTCCCCATCTTCCCCTCCCCTCTCCACTTCCCAGCCTCTAATAACCACAATTCTACTCTCTACTTTTGTGAGCTCAGTTTTTTTAGCTCCCACGTGTGAGAAGGTGTGCAGTATTTCTTTCTGTGTCTAACTTACTTCATTTAACATAATGTCCTCCAGTTCCGTCCATGTTGCTGTGGATGACAGGATTTCATTCTTGTTCATGGCTGAATAGTGTTCCATTACATGTATATACCACATTTCTTTATCCCATCATTCACTGAGAGACACTTAGGTGATTCCATAGCTTGGTGATTGTGAACAGTGCTGCAGTAAGCATGAGGGTTAGGTATCTCTTTGCTATATACTGATTTCCTTTCCTTTGGCTAAATACTCAGTAGTGAGATTGCTGCATCATATGGTAATTCTATTTTTAGTTTTTTGAGAAAATACACTATTACCATACCAAAATATACTATATACCGTACTATTTTCCATATTTACTGATTTACTTTCCCACTAATAGTGTACGAGAGTTCCCTTTTCTCCACATCCTTACCGGCATTTTGTTATTTTTTTATCTTTTTGGTAACAGCCATAGAATAGTAGTATTTTAAGAGGCCCAAGACAGTTTTACAAAAGTTCAAAAGAGTAACCATTAGCTATCTTTGTGAGGAATGTCAAATGCCTTTTTTCTCAGGTTGCTTTTGTTTATGCCAGAAGTAGTTTTGTTCCTATGATGTGACAAAAATGGTAAGTCTGAACCAGACACCAATACGGCTGTCTGGGAGCTCGGGCCTCCTGGGAGAGGTGGCAGATAAGCATGAGACCATGGTGCATTGCGTGTGGTCGGGGCTTGGCATTCAGGAGACATGCCGGCCAGTCTCAGCGCTCAAGAGATGATGCAGAAGAGATGATGTCTCCCTCTGAGTGGAAGCATGAAAGTCAGGAGGATTCTGTCAGGCGAGCAGGAGGGTTCTGATCGGAGAGGAGGGCCTGTGCAGAGGCTGAGAGATGGGATTAGGCACAGTGTGACTTCCCGTTCAGGGTGGCGGAAGTGGAGAGCGCAGGCAGATCGTGTGGCTGGGGAGGTCCAGAGTAGGGCTGCAGAGGCCGGCTCAGGAAGGACACCCACCCCAGGGATTTCCACCAGAGACTCTACCCTGGGGATGCTGGAGAGTCTTTGAAGGATTTTTAAGCAGGGAAGTGATATGGTCACACTTCCTTGCTGTCACTGTGGGATGGAGAATAATTCTGGAGGAAGTGTGTTGAATAGGGCGTGAGCAGAAACAAAAGAGTCAGAAGTGTTCTGGGGCTGATGTGATTCAGTGGAATAATATCCTAGAAGGAGGAAAAAGTGCATGGTGACTTCTTTGGAATGTAATGAATTGTTTTGAATATATGTGAATTGCAGGGCCTATGGAGTATCCCCACAGCACAGGCTTTTGGATGTACCAGTCTGGAGTTTTGGCTGGTGATTTAGGCTGGAAATAGAGACTTGACAGGTTTTTAATTAGTTGCTTGATGGCAACTAAAGAAAAGTGAGCAAAGTCACTAGGTAAAGCGTCCAGGCAGAATGTTAAGAAGCGTCCGCACTAAAGGAAGGACAGAAGGTAGAGGTGACTGCAGGGAGTAGTATGGTTAAGAGAAACATAGACGTTAAGGGAAACTGTTTGGGGGGGCAGTCTAGCCAAAGGGGCCATGCTACATAGAGGTAACAGGTGACATATGGAATGAAAGGGCTCCGTTGGACTTTTTGTTTACTATCTGCATTAAATACTCTGTTTTTACCTAAAATATATAAAATATACATTTACTTGCCAGTGTTTTGATGTAAAGTCAAGACCTTTCCTTTGAGAATGGGCCCACTGTTTGGACTTTATGTTTTTCTTCTTAAATAAAGTTTGCACATAGTTACAGTCTGCAGTTCCAAAATTTAGTTCCTTCCAGGAGTCCATTGGATTTTGTGAGCATAGTTGTCACCGAGTTGAGAGTGGGAACCAGATCACAGTAGGTTGAGAAGTGACTCAAGGAATAGACTAGAGAAGGATGGGATTCAGGATGCTTTTCGATGGGACAGACCTGACCTGTTTAAAGGCCCGTGGGGCGAGCTGAGAGAAAAATACTGCCTTCATAGTGGAGGGGAGCAGGTGATTGGTGGCCAGGATGTGGGGGGCATGAGATTTGGGCCCAGGGGGAACGACTGGCCTTAGGAAGGAGGCTGCGTGGACATGGGGCGGGAAGTGGAACACTTTCCTGCTGCGCCTCCTGCTCTGTCTGGGCAATGGGAGGAGGCCTGCTCTGAGACCGAGGTCTTGGTTGTGGTGAGAAGAATGAGAAAGGTTTCCACAGCCCCTATAGGGAGTGGGGGAATCTGACTAGGGAATCGGACATCCTGCCAGGAACAGTAGAGACCCTAAGAAAAGAAACATGGGTGCAGGAGGGATTACTTCCCCAGTTATAAATGTAAAATATGCCTAACAAGTGATGCTTAGAAAGTGGGGGGAAAAAGAAATTACTATCTCTACGGATAACCACCATGAACATTGTAGTGTGTATTTTTCTATTCCTTTATTTGTGTGTGTTTATACATATATGTTTGTAGGGGAGTGTGGAGTGTTTTTATAAAAGTGACATCACACTGTGCGTACTGTCCGGCACACTGCCCCTGTCAGTGTTCTTCTATGTGAATATTAAGCTGCGCAATCATTCATCCTATGGACGTACCGTAGATATGTACTCAGTATCCTGTTTCGGAACATTTAGATGGTTTCTGGCTTTTCAAAGTATAAAAGTGCCGTGTTGAGAGTTGAAAGGAGTGAAGCAGGACGGGGAAAGTGAAGAGGCAAGAAAGTCCCGAGCAGCCTCAGCGTCACCCCTGGACACTGGAGTGGGAGGAACGCGGTGGATGAGCTGCAGGGCCGGGCACGGAGTCAGGCAGTGGCTGCTCCGCTGGAGGATGTGGTCTCGACAGGTGGGGGCACAGGTGGAGTGGAAGTGAAGGTTGAAGAATTGAGGAGGTTCGAAATTCATTGTCTTAGCCACCAGGTACCAGACTTTTAGCCAAGAAGCTGAAGTAGTAGATGTAAAACTGCATTATACATGAAAGACTCAGGAACAAACATATCTCTTCTTAAGCTTGGTGAGACCCAGTCTAGTAAGACAGAAGCCCGTAGGATGAATGCCAGATCCAGCGGGAGAGTAGATCGCATAGCAGCAATGAAAACATTCAAGGTGGGGAAGGAAGTCCATCCTTGCAAGCAATCACAGAACATATATCGAGGTTCTATTCTGCTTTGCTTTAAGTAGAAATTATAACATTTAATGCTAGAGCTGGTATGGTGGCTCGTGCCCTGTAACCCCAGCACTTTGGAGGAGACCAAGGTGGGCGAATTGCTTGAGGCCAGGAATTCTAGACCAGCCTAGACAACATAGTGAGACCCCATCTCTACAAAAATAAAAAAATTAGCCAGGCCTGGTGGTGCACACCTGTAGTCCCAGCTATTTGGGAGACTGAGGCAGGAGGATCACTTGAGGCCAGACGTTTGAGGTTGCAGAGTGCTATTATAATGCATTTGTTCTCCAGCCTGGGTGATAGAGCAAGATCCTGTCTCAAAAAAACAACAACAACAAAACATTTAATGCTGAGTTATAGGGAACTAGTATAATATTGGTGGCATGGGAAATTGATAGCAGTTGTTTTAAAACTCAGTTAAATTATATTTAGCAAAAGTGATTTTCATATCCTTTATCCAGTAATCTAACTTTTGGTAACATACACTAAAGACAGAACTCAACAAAAGGAAAAAAAACAATGCCACAAAGTAGTTTATTTCAGCATTATCTACACTATCAAAAAAAATTAAAAATAGTAGAAGGGGAATAATTAAGTGAATCTTACGAAAACACAAGTAGAAGTAGTGGTGTGATTAAACATGGTGGTTACAAAAACTTCATTCACGTGGAAAATACTTAAGCTACGAGGAAAGCAAAACATAAGCTAATATGTACTATGTACTCTGGAATTCCCACTGTAGAAAATCTACATGTAGACAAAGACTAGGGTAATATACAAGTAAAAAAAGTAAGATTTTGTTGTTGTTGTTAAAGGTGATTAGAATTAGGATAGTTTAGCTTTATTTTTTCACTGTCCAAAGTTTTTTTAAACACTTTCTCCTTTAATAAATAATTTTTTATTATGACAGTAATATATTTTTTAGAAGAGTTACAAAGAGACAAAAATTAAAATCATCCATGAATTTTTTCCCAACCGGAGAAAACCCCTGTTAAGATTCGATTTATACATTTTCAGTCTTAATTTGTTCATATCTATGAATACATTGTTATTCTTTTTGCATCCTAATTAAATTAATCTAAAATCTTGTTTGTGTGCGTTAAACACCAAATGCATCTCAGCACTTCCACTAGGCGTATATCCAAAAGAATTTCAAGCGAGGACTCAAGCAGGTATTCGTGCACCGGTGTGCACAGCATCATTATTCACGATAGCCAAGAGGTGGAAGCAGCCCAGTGTCCATCAGCAGGTGAAGGGATAAACAAAATGTGCCATTCACATACAGTGAATATCATTTAACCTCAAAAAGATGAAATCTGATACTTGCTACAACATGGATAAACCCTGAAAATCTTGTGGCAAGTGAAATAAGCCAGTCACAAAAGGACAGATATTCGCCATTCCAGTGACGTGAGGTGGTCTGGGCACCTAGTATCGGCAAATGCATAAAGAGTGAAACGGGCTACCATGGGCCGGGGGAGGGGAGAAGGGGCAAGAGAATGATTACGTAATAGGTACAGAGTCTTTATTGGGGAGATGAGAAAATTTGGGGTATACATAGTGGTGATGATTACACTTTGTAAATGTATTTCATGTCATGAATTTATACACTTACAAATGGTTACAATGATATGTTACATCTATTTTTCCACAACTTGTGCTCCAATGTATTACGTAAGTACTAAATGAGAGCGATGTGTCTTTTCAGCAGTACAAGTAAAAACTTTTGCCGTAGGAATCACCACAAAATGTTTCCACCGTTGTGTAGTCAGTTGTCTGGGATGAGGAAAATGACGGTCTTGCCACATTGCCAGCAGGCAGGCCGCACCTGCCTGGTCACAGGGCCACCCTGCAAAGGGAGCTAGACTGGCCAGAGCGCCTTAAAGAGAGGACCCCAGGAGCAGAGGGGGTCCAAACAGTAGCACAGGGGCCAGAGGACCAGGGCTTTAGTTTGTTGAAGACAATGCTCAGAATATACTAGGGAAGAAAACAAAACTCAGAAAATACTGAAGACCTGTGCTTTGGCCTAGCATAAAGAACAACTCTGAGCCAGAGATATCCAAGCAAGAGTGATCTGCCTGGGAGGGGAGGTTACTAAGCATGGTCTGGCTCGCCTTGGCGGGAGTATGTCCAGCACCAGGAGCTGGTGCGGGCATGGGTGGAGTGCCTCAGGCTTTGCACTGGCAGTTGTGGGGCTTCTCCCGTGGCCGTTGGTCGGGGACCCAGGGAGAAGGGCTGACTGTTGGTGGTGAAAGCCCCAGGGGGCAGTGCGGGCTTGCCAGCGTCCTCGAAGGGGTGTAAGGTGGCCAGCCTTCCCTTCTCAGGGGGCTCTTCAGAATTTCATGGTACAAATCCCTCAGAAAACATTTGAGTTAAATGAATCACCAAATTACAAAGTAAAGCAGATTCGAAGTATAAATGGATGAACAGCTGCAAATGTAGGCACGTTCTGTTCCTTTCCTGGCAGTTTATGAATTTGGTATTTACAAATTGAAATACTAATAACAATCCTTTTGTCGGTGGCCAGATTTCAAGTGAAAATCTCCGGCCCTCTTCATGTTTCTGAGCATTAAAAGGGAAAGTCTACTAAAAGTCCCGACGGGAGCTGACAGTGTGCTGTGCTCTAGGTGTCCCGCGATGGGGGCGCGGCCTCCCCCGCCACCGAAGGCCGGGGCGGTGGCGAAGTGGAAGGAGGCAGGACGGCGCTGGACAACAAGACCTCCCTCCTCAACACCCAGCCTCCGCGCGCCTTCCCAGGGCCGCGGGCGCGAGACTACAGCCCGTACCCCTACTCAGACACCATCAACACCTACGACAAGACAGCCTTGAAGGAGGCCGTGTTCGACGACGACATGGAGCAGCTTCGAGACGGTTGGTCTCTCCTTGCTCGATTGTCCTGTCCAGAGTGCTCCCTGCACTTCCCCTCCTTCCCGACCAGCTGGGCCCACTGGTCCAGTGTGAACCGAGAGGCTGGGTCTGTTCCGGTTAGTCATTCGTTCAGAAGTTGTGTACTGAGTCCCTACTGTGTGCTGGAACAGTGAACAAAAGCACAGGCAGTCCCCACCCTCTGGAAGTCTAGTCAAGGAGGCAGTCAGGAAATAGCCATGCAGTGCAGCACTGCCAGGCTGACTGTCCCTTTGGGAGGCCTGGCTGCAGAACCAGAACCTGATCCGGAGGGCGAGGGCAGCAGGAGTGAATGGGGCATGGCATTCCCAGCATGGAACCCGGCATTTGCAAAGGCCTCTGGCCTGTCCTTCCCAGTTCTGCGGGCTGCAGAGTGAGGTCCTGAGCGCTGCTGAGAGGCTACCCTCTTCTCTTGCATCAGCATTAACCCGGTCTTCCTGGAGCTGTGTGGACTGTGTGCGGCAGTTGGGAGAGAGGAGATCTAACAGATGCACGCTTGCGTTACCATGTGCTCATGCTGACTGTTGTATATACTTCGTTTGATTGAGATAGAGAGGATTGTTCCCATTTTACAGATGTAAGAAACTGAGGTTCAGAAAGGTTAAGCTACTTGCCCAAAATAAAGCATAAGCAGTTTGAAGTAGAGTCTGGTTTTCCCTGACTCCTATGTCCATTATTGAGTAACCAGTGAGTAGTATGTATTGGTATGGTGGTATTTTTATCTGAAACTTAATTATTTCTTTATTCACCTCACTGTCCTTTTCACACATTTTAGTTTATTTAAACTTGATGGTTTTTTTTTTTTTTTTTTTTTTTTTTTGAGACAGAGTCTCACTGTGTTGCCTGGGGTAGAGTGCCATGGCATCATCCTAGCTCACAGCAACCTCAAACTCCTGGGCTCAAGCGATCCTTCTGCCTCAGCCTCCCGAGTAGCTGGGACTACAGGCATGCGCCACCATCCCCGGCTAATTTTTTCTATGTATTTTTAGTTGTCCGATTAATTTCTTTCTATTTTTAGTAGAGATGGGGTCTCGCTCTTGCTCAGGGTGGTTTCGAACTCCTGAGCTCAAACAATCCACCCGCCTCGGCCTCCCAGAGTGCTAGGATTACAGGCGTGAGCCACCGCGCCTGGCCGATGGTTATTTTTTTTAATTATATATATATGTTTAGTTTTAAAGCTCGTTCTCTAAGTTTGAATGATGAATTAAATTAGAACCGTAAATTAAAATTATAAACAGTTAACATTCACTGAGGGTCCCCTGGTGTCGTGGGGTGTGTGGGTTGGTTGCTAGGGACGGAGAGGTAAGTGAGACACAGTCCCTGGCCTCAGAGGCTCAAGGCCTGTCAGTAACAGACTCACAGCGACCACACTAGTACAAGAGGAAGGCCGTGCTAGAGGCACATTCCAAATTCTACGGGACACAAAGGAAGGAAAGCTGCACTGTCAGGGATCAGACAGTGACGGAATGCTGAGACAGAAGAGAAGTGCTCCTGCTGTTTGAGCGCAGAAGTGTCTTCAGGGACTGAAAGTGTCATCCCCTGGCTGTTCGTTGCTAGTTGCCGGTGGGTAGCAGCTCAGCCTGTGCCCAAGCGTCTGTCTACTGGGCAGGAGGCTAATGGGATGTAGTATTTGTGACTCACGCTTTCTGGGAGAAGTGGACTGTTTCTTTTCATTGCTTATTGAATTAGCACATCATTTACCTTATCCATTGTTGATCCTGATTAAAGTAGAATACAGATTAGAGTGTTGGTTATTATTCATCAGCTGTGTACTAAAAGGCTTAAAGGAGAAGGTGGGAAAAGGGAAAGAAGGAAAATGACGAGTTCTTTGCCATTTCAGACTTACTTGAATGTTTGCTCCCTAATCTTACAAGCTAGAGAAATATGCAAATGTACATTTAAGTAGTTCCTAATGACTTGTCTGATTTGGTTTGTTTCTTTGTCCTCTCTATTTAAAGTTGAGTATTCAGAGGTGAGGTCTCTTAAAGGAACATAGAAGGTGGCTGGGTGCGGTGGCCCACGCCTGTAATCCTAGCACTTTGGGAGGCCCAGGCGGGTGGATCGTTTGAGCTCAGGAGTTGAGACCAACCTGAGCAAGAGTGAGACTCGTCTCTACTAAAAAAAAAAAAAAATAGAAATTAGCTGGACACTAGAAATATATAGAAAAAATTAGCCTGACATGGTGGTGCATGCCTGTAGTCCCAGCTACTCAGGAGGCTGATGCAGTAGGATCGCTTGAGCCCAGGAGTTTGAGGTTGCTGTTAGCTAGGCTGACGCCACGGCACTCACTCTAGCCAGGGCAACAGAGTGAGACTCTGTCTTAAAAAAATAAAAAAAAACATAGAAGGAGAAAGGATGTGCCTTTCTGCCATATAAACGATGGTTCAAGTCCCTGTAAATAGTTATGTAAATGATCTTGAGTCAGTTTTTCAGCCTTTGAATAGACAATCCATGAATTGTCCAAACACCTTGATTGGGATCTGTTCACCAGGCTGGTTCCTGAGCTCTGGACATTGGAGAAGGGAATAGATATTAATCAGATGTGATGGTGAGGAGGCCTTGAGGAAAATGAGCGTATGGGAGTAGATTTGATCCTGGTCAGAGGCTGTCCAGTGGCGGCTGACTGAGGACTGGGCAGTGGGAGAGAGTGTGGGAGAGGACAGTGGAGGAGAGGTTGGGAGGTGCTGGCCTTTCTCCTCTGTCTGAGATAGAGGGGGAGAGAGGGTAAGGAAGGGTGAAGACATTGACTGTTGGCACTGGCTTGCTGGCCTCGCACCTCTGCTTTCACGGTTAATTTGGTGAGAACGTCTGCTGAGGGTGTGCAGGCTGAGGCCGGCAGCACAGCGGGGCGAAGGGCGGAAGGGACTGGTGGAGGGCGTTGCTTCTGGAGACGGGACAAGCAGGGAAGGTTCGCTGGGCACCACTGAGGGAGCCCCTGTGCCAGTGCTGCTTCTCGAGGTGACATCTGCCCTGTGTGTCTCCAGTGCCCATCGACCATTCTGACCTGGTGGCTGACCTTCTGAAGGAGCTGTCCAACCACAACGAGCGGGTGGAGGAAAGGAAGGGCGCCCTGCTGGAGCTGCTCAAGATCACGCGGGAGGACAGCCTGGGCGTCTGGGAGGAGCACTTCAAGACCATTCTGCTCCTGCTGCTGGAGACCCTCGGAGACAAAGATGTGAGGCGCTGGTTTGGCCTTCCCTCGCCCCTTTCCATGTAATGGGTCACGATGTCCTTTTCTCGTGGGGGTTGGCTTCAGCTTTCCTTTCTGGATTGTGCCTACTATTTACATCAGAACATTTATCTGTTCATTTTTCACGTATTTTCTGAGCACTTATTAGTAAGATAATGTTTTTGTCAGTGACGGGCTTCATCTTGGCTTGTATGCAAGTTCTGTCTTATGTGTAACTGGGTTTGTAGTAGTTGAGGGAAACTTATTCCTGTATCTAATTACTTTAATGCAGAATTTCTTAAAACTTTGTTAGCATAGAACGTGGTCTTTTAGGATACACTATTTTCCTTGTGTGTTTCATTTTTATTTCATGTGTAATTGAGAAACAGAGAAGTTTATTTTTTCAAAAACATTCTTAGATGCTGCATTCCATGAAATTCTATTCTGGTTCACCCCTACATAGATTAACAGTTCTAGGTACTCTTAGTCGGTCAAGTGATGGGTTCCAGAAATGTGACTCTTGTATTATTAGTTTTAAAATTATAAAAGCACTCTTCACACCAGGACATTTGAGTGTGATAGACTAGGCATTTGTGACAGTTCTGGTCTGTGATCTGCACCTGGCACACAGCAGATGATTCTTAAAGGAGATAGTATCTAGTCAATTTCCTGCTTTCTCCTGCCTGTGGAGCTAGTCCCTTATATGGAGACCACTGCTGGCATTAAGCTCTAGAAGGAAAACTCCATCTCTGTAGTGAGCTCTTTGTCAGCCAGCAAAAACGAAAGTAGAGTATGTGTGGTGAGCAGTTAGATGGCCAGCACCAAGGATTTCCAGGAGGGGACAGGCTGAGCCCAGGGCCACGCTGGAGGGGACTTGCGTGGTGGCTGGGTGAGGGGAAGGCTGCTGTGTGCCATCGTGACTCAGATCACTTTCTGATGCTTCAGATTGATGATTTGGTTTAGGGATACATAAAGATAGAAGAGTGGTAATAAAAGATCTGTTTTATTTTTCTTAAAGCAAAGTATTGGCTGTTGAAACAGTTGTGCCTAGTTGGGCTCTCTTGGGAGATAAAATGATGTCACGTAGAGGGCAGGTAAATGGTGTATTAGTGTGTGAACTGTGTAGATGAGTGACAAAGAATCAGGATGTACTTTTTGGCTCTGTTTGGTGTAAACTCCATTCTCTTTTATTGAGATTAGGAGTCTGTTTGGAATGGCTTTCCTCCAAACGCATGACTCTGCCTCAAACAACGCAAAGCCTGTACAAACCCAGTGATCTCATCACACAGGTTAGGAATAACAACAGGTCTTCAGCTGTCCTTAGAGAGTTCACAGTCTCACAGCCCATGTTGATGAAATGTTTAGATGCTTTGTATATGTCCTTAGTACATTTTACAAAAGGATAATTTGTAGGCCACAGCCTTAGGAAATCTAGAAATCCCAGGGAGACTGATAATGAACTTAGGTACGTCATCCTCATTTGATCTCGAGTGCCAGGCTCACTGAAGAAGCCTTTGTCAGATCCCTCTCAAGAGCTGGTCCTGGGAATGTCTCCTTAAGACACAGTGCCTCCCCTCATGGAGATGACCATCTAGACAGCCGGTGTCATGTAAACCATGTGATCTGCACAGAGGGGTCTGCGAGATGCCAAGGAACCCAGAGTTGGGTGCTTGGACTTGCTGGACGCTGCTGATTGGTATGTGTAGTCAAGTGCTGTGTGTTGTTTGGTGATGTCTTCCTTTTCTTCTTGTCCTCCAGCATTCGATCCGAGCACTAGCATTGAGAGTTCTGCGGGAAATTCTGAGAAACCAGCCAGCAAGATTTAAAAACTATGCCGAGCTGACGATCATGAAGACTCTGGAAGCCCACAAAGACTCCCACAAGGAGGTGAGCCAGCCGCGTGGCCAGGATGCTGAACAGACGGGCTTGGGAATATAGCTGGGGTGTAGGGGGAGAGGAGGCAGAATCAGGGCGTAAGCTTTATAGAGAGCCCCTTCCTTGGAACTCAGCTCTGTGCCACACAGAGAAAAGTTCCCATTGCCGTCATTGTGGCTGAGCAGCAGTGCAGTTCCAGGGCCAGTGCTATTTGTCAGGTTCCCAGCTCCCTGTCCCTGTGTCCTGCAGGCCTGCCCTTTCCCGAGGGCTGTTCCATGCCCAGGCTTCCCGTTGCTTTGGTAGAAAGGAGGGGTCTGCCACTCCCTCTGGCATTCAGCCTCTGGCAGCCTGCTGTGAGAGGTGGAGACTGGCTTTGGAATCACAGACATGCAAGTCCTAGAGCCAGTACTTCCTTGCTCCAGATCCATGGACAAGTCATTTCACTTTCTGAGCCTCCATTTCCTGGTGTGTAAAATAGGACGGATATTATCAGGCAGTTTCTCATGAGAATTAAATGAGATGGCCAGGGACATTCCAGTCCAGTGCTTGCCAACAGTGAATAGCATGCTCTGTTGATTGGCCTTCCTCCCTCCCCGGCCACTTTCAGTGTGCTGCTCTCTGCAAGATGAGGCTGAGCGGAGGCGGCCCTGCCACGCCCCTTTTGCTCACTCCTGAGCATTTAAACTGCTAGCAAGCCATCTCTGCAGTTCCTGGGCTGTGGGACCTCAGCTGCCTGTTGAGAGCAGGAAGAGCATGTCTCTGCCCTGCACACAAGCTGCAGACGGTGGGCACTCAGGGAACACTTAGCCAGTTACTTACCAGATTGTCCAGCCCCTGTGGCTCACCAGGCCTTCAAATAGCTACAGAGAGTGGGGAGGTGGCCGGAGCTGTTCTGAATACAGTTGATCTCAGCAGCGCCCTTCAATGAAAGGCTTTGTGTGGGGAACAGAAATGTATATTAGAACTTCAGAAGACTTAGCGTGACAAATGATGGGTTTGACCCCTAAGTCATGAATAACCACTCGCTCAGGTCAATCTCTTGGCTCTTCCGTGATTCTCTTGTGAGTACGCTCATGGGTTAAGGGAACTGGGATTAGAGCAATTCTTCCATCTGCAAAAAGAATGAGGCCCTAGATTATATTTTTTTCTTCGGCAGTCGTGCACCTGCTTGAGCAGTGACTGGTTTGACATCCTCAAATCTCCACTGGGATTGTAGCCAGCAAGGGCAGGGGTCTCGCCCTTGGGCTGGGCATCTCCACACCTACTACTCCTAGCACAGCGCTCAGTGCACTAATAACTGTGTTTCTGAAATCTGGCTTAGTTGCATGATGGTGATAATCACTCATGTCTGAACAAAACACTTTCCATTTATAATGACTCATTTAGAAAATGGGAGTGCAAGATGAGTTAACGTGATCAATGTAATGACTCCCAGGTGCGGAAGGAAGGTCCTAGAGGAACCTCACGCACAGCAGTAACTGCAGAACCGAGATGTGTGAGCCAGGTCTTGTGTCTCTTTTAAGGGGCAGTTTGGCCTGTGCTGATTTTTATTTTTAATCATCATTGCTTCTCCTTGATAAGAATATGTGATCAGAAAATGAAATAAAATTGAGTTATTTTGTATATATAGATGATACCAGTTTTCATGGGGGAGTTCGTACTTAGAATGGGGCATTAAGGTGAAATGATTAGCCATCCACGGTGTTGTGGCACTTACTTTCCAGTTAAAAGATGTGTATCTTTAAAGTGGGCCCCTGATCTTTAAAACTTTGACAGTGGGCGCTAAGAAACATAAGTTAACAGAATTAAATACTCGATTTACTCTTTACTGTTTTCTTTTGGGATCTTGTTTTTTTTCCTGCGAAATAAGAAATTTAGGAGAGAAATACGAGATTTCTTAAATTGCTGAGAGGAAAAGAGCAGAAAACATCTCTTGCATAAAATAACCTTAGCAGCACTCAGTTAACTTGGAATTCCTGTGACCTGAGGGTCCCCAGGCTGTCACTGATGACCTGATGGAGCAGGTGGAGGAGACGTGTCGTGAGGAGTGCCCGTACTGGCAGCCTCCCCTGCTTTGCACACTTCCAAACTCACCTTGACGCGCTGCCCTTGGAGTTTCCTTGTGAAACTTCACTCTGTCACTTTGCCAGAAGCTACTGGTTCAGACATCAGTATATTTAAATTTTAGGTGGAGTTTTTCTTTTTCTTTTCCTTTAAAAGTCTTCTCATCTTTCTCTGATTTTAACCAATCTGTTTCCATTCCTTGGTTCTGTTTTTCAGGGCAAAAGAGATGCACATAGTATTCGTGTTGTAGGCATCTTGTCAGCATATTAATATGACACATAGTATTTCTCTAGTCTTCCATTTTCTTGTCATTACATTCAGTACATTTCTTGGAAAGGATCTAGAATGTTTCTAGTCTCAGTTATTGTATTTGTCATACAAAAACAGCCTATTTTCCTGTCTCGTTAGTTCTTCCAAAATGTGTTTGTCCCAGAGTGAACTCTCTTGGAACTCCTTCTCATAAGAAGCTAGTTGGTCTTATATTCCCAGATGGAACCCAGGCTTCAGCAGGAGATGAAGAACGAGAGACCTGGCAGGTTACCCCAGGGCTGCTCTGAGAGACCTTGGCACCAGGTGTCTCCCGCTTGCTGGCGAGATGTTACCACACCAACACATGCACTGTCGTTCTGTGGAACCGCAGCAAGGAAGGACAACTTCTTGAAACACATTTCCGTAAACCGAAGTTTGCCATAAATGCTCTTAGGGAAGATGGATGAGGTAGATACTTGTTTTCTCATCCTATAAGCAACGGTCCATGTTCTCAGGTTCTTTTAAAAGAAGCGATGTGTGCAGAATATTTTTCTTGCACATTGAAAATGTACCAGGTACTAAATCTATCTCAGTCACCATCCATCCTAAGCTAACATAGATATTCTGTACTAAGCAAGATAGGAAGATTTGGATGCCAGTTTAGAGTTTTTATTTCAAAGATGTTGTTTGCCAGCTTAGACATAATGTTTTCATAGTCTCTAATTGAATAAGTAAATATTTCATTTTCTAACTCCTTTTTTGTCTTTTTAGTAAATGAATTTTGCTGTTGCATTTCTAATGCCTCATTAGCAAAGTTACTGTGGTTTACCGTAGCATTAGCATTTAGCAAACACCATAAAGGGCTGAGGCCTTGGGAGTGACCTTTTGAAACCTTGAGCCCATTTTCTGTTTTTCAGTATAACTTTGTAAATTTGAACTCTTCTTATTTTAGAATTTTTAGTCTATTTGGACTATACAGAATCTCTCCTTTAGTGATTAAGAAGAAGATTTAAAAAGAGAACTGACTCTGCGCAGAAATTCTAGGGTCAGGGCAAGGTATGAGTCTTCAGGCAGAAAACCTGGTTTTCAGTGCAGCTTCTCCTGTTCTCTCGCTCTCTTGCCAGTTTCATCTTTGTGTAACCCTGGACGAGCAGGACTGTTGTGAGAATCAAAGTTACATGATAGGGAAGTAAGCTTTTAAAACTGTCATTATGATGTACCAGTGTTGCTACATAAAACTTCTCAAACAGCCTTGTTTCAGAAGCACCCATTTCTTGGGAAGTAATTAATATGCTAATTATAAATTGTTTTATTCACATTTAATGCTAGAATAGTAGTTGCTCCCAGTCATCGTGTCTTGCATATAGTACCCACAGTGTTGAAGTTCTCAGTAAATGTTTTATTTAAACCTGAAAGAATTGCCATCTCTATTTCTTGAAGATACTCTATAATTGAGACTTTTCAATCATTAGACTTAGCTTTTTCCGAACTTTGTCACAGTAATGAATATTCAGTTACATTTGCCTATCGAAAGAGGAAAATGTTAGCATCATTTCGTGTCACTATCCTGGGTTATCAAACAGTTCTTAACCGCACGCACGAAAGTCCTGATGTTTAAGGCATCAGAATCCAGCTTCAAGTGGTTTGCCTTGTTTGGGAAAGTTTGATTTTTAGATAAATATAAAACAACCATTATTATATCTCCAGGGGTTTTATTTTTAAATCATTACCAGTTAATTTTATATTTTATGACTTTAAGAAATTAGAAAAGCAAAATCAGACCAAAGTTATTTTTTAAAAAAAAGAGAAATTCCTGAGACTAGCTACCTGGCTTCTGCTTTGCCCGGACAGCGTGCTGTGTCTTACACAGTCCTTTTGACAGTGCTGCAGCCAAAGAGGAGCAGCAGTGTGCCAGAGATGGCGTGATACCGAGCTAATGTTCTGCTGCAAGTACCGATCGGAATCACTAGCTGACCTCGTCTCAGCCAGACCCGCTGCACTCAGGAATGGCCCTGTGACGCCTCTCAGGGCAGCAGGCATATGTGTCAGTGCATTCTGGGGGACAGTACACTGCGTGAACCTGGGGAAATGGCTTCACCTCTCCAGACCTTGGTTTTCCCTTATCTGTTAGCCAAGGAATGGACTAGACGATTATCTGTGTTTCATCTAGCCTAGAGATAATAGAAGTTGCTGTTGAGTAACAAACCTAAATCCTCATAGAGTCTAAATCTGTAGTTTTCTGTGGGCCCAGCCTTGGGATGTGACCAGAATCCCCCTTTCCTTTGTAAGTTTTTGCTTTTTAATAAAAAGACAAAACCAAAAACCTATATAGCTTCACAGAGAGGTTCCAAGTTGCTGAGCCAGCAGTCTAACACCAATAGCACAAACTCTGATGAATGTTTTATTATGGGGTGGTGGGGGGTAGGTACTGCAGTCTTCAAGGAGTTTATGGTGTTTAGTTGAGGTTAAAGCAAAGAATCAGAATCAGTATGTGCTTCAGAGTGAAGTGGACCAGGAGTTTAGAGTGGGCAAGGATAGTCAAAGAAGAGTTCCTGAGGAGGTTAGAACCTGAGATGGGCTGAAAAGGAGCAGGTACGGAGAAAACTCTAATAGCTAGGAGTCAAGGCTGCATGGCCCAGGGAGGGGGCCTGGGCTTGGAAGACATGCCTGGGTTGGATCCCACTGAACCAAGATGGCAG